AAGATCCAGCATCCAAGAGTCTTCCAGCATCCCAGGAAATCCTTCCATTCAGCTGCTCCTCAATGGCTTTAAAAGGCGCATCGTCATGGCAACGATAAGACTCCTCACACAATTCACTGGTGCATGAATTGTTTTTCACTTCTATTGATGTTGGAAGAAGTTCTGTTAATGGCTTTTACGGGTTTTTCAGGTGTGAATATGCATGCACATCTCACGATTAATCCTAAGCATGATCTTCCCTTCTCTGATTTAATCTTAGAAGATCACATCACATGTACTCAATAATTCTTGAAGCACTCACAATCTGATAGATCTCACCAAGGCACTCAAATTGTGTTGCCTAGACTAACACCATATTTTGTCTATTCTCTTCTATGATGAAATCCCTGCATCATCGCTCCAACCCATCGGTTGGCTCCCTTGTTCATCGTTGATGGTTGCAACCAGTGACAAGATCGTGGTTCTGGCTTAAGCTGTGTGATCTCTGTTGAGCTGTGGCCTCCCCTGAACACTATTCCCTTCACTCCCTAAGATTGGTGCAATCTTAAATGAATGAGGCATGCTTGGACACTGCAAGCAAAACATGGACAAGTCGTAAAGCAGAAGATGAACCGTCACCAGATGTGCTCCCAAAGCAAGGCAAGGCAAAGACAAGAAAATATGACGAGACATATCTCGCCTTTGGCTTCACCTGTACAACGGTGGGTAATGAGGAGAGGCCACAGTGTGTTGTGTGTCTCAAAATACTAGCCTGTGACAGTTTGAAGCCAAACAAGCTAAGGCGCCACGTAGAGACAATACACCCAGAGCACAAAGACAAGTCAGTTGACTTTTTCAGAAAAAAACTCATAAACTGCCGTGCTCAATAGTGTCGCTTTACTAAAGCTGCATCCGTGCCCGCAAATGCCCAACTCGCTTCGTATAAAGTTGCCTACCGAGTGGCACAATGTAAAAAGCCGCACACAATAGCTGAAGAAGTAATACTTCCCTGTGTTATGGACATGGTTTCAACTATGCTTGATGACACAGCAGCCAGCAAGCTAAGGACTATTCCTCTGTCCGACAATACCATTGCCAGGTGCATTTATGATATGTCAAAGGACATAGAGGAGCAGCTTAATGATAAGGTGCGCGACACCTGCTTTGCTCTGCAGATGGATGAAGCAACTGACAGTAACAAAGACTTTTAACTGATAACGTACATCAGATTCATTGATGAAGATGATTTAAGGGAGGAATTGCTTTTCTGCAAAAAAGTTCTTGGCAGAGCCACTGCAGAAGAACTGTTTAAAATCATTGACACTTACTTGAAAGAGGCCAATCTGAAATGGGAGGACTGTGTGGGGATCTGCACAGATGGGGCTCAGGCTATGGCTTGGAAACATGGAGGGCTGCAAGCGCTCATCAAGCGCGTCTCCCCCAACGTGCAGTGGACGCACTGCATGATACACCGCAAGGCGCTGGAACTTGCATACCTCAGTGACATGTTTCTGAAACTCAATGAAGTGAATTTGCAGATGCAGGGCAAAAACACACCTTCCACATCTGGCAGATAAAATCACATCATTCATCAGAAAACTTGAGATGTGGCAGCAGCGAGTGAAAGATGGAAATATTGACTCATTTGAGAACTTGAAATCATTCATTGAAGTCAACAAGCTGAATAACACAGTGATCCCATGCATGGAAGCACACACTGAAAAAAAAAAGTCTTTACATAAAGGATTTACATAAAAAAAATTATGGACATCGGTTGCACGTTATGTTTACTCAAATTGATATATTCTGTACATTAGATTATTATTCGTTAAACAAACATGACTTTCTTACATAAATTAAAATTATTATTATTATATACTAATTTATACTAAATTAGTATATTAGATTATCTTGCTAAACTGACTGATTTTTTTTATATTAAATGAACGCTATTCTTTAATGTGTATGATATTTAATTATCATCAGTTGGACCAACATAATTTTTTTGCATGAAGCTAACCTAACTTCCACAGGTAAATTGGACACTATTAAGTTTGGTATTTAGCCTTTAAATATTTAAATTACTTTTATAAGATGATTGGTAATTTAAGAAATGAATTTCTACACCCCCAACCCCACTAAATCGAGCCGAATCTTTTACGGAAAATAAAAAAGGACGTGGCAATAGGCCGACATATCTTCAATAATTCACTCCAGACAGTGCATAATAAACATCCGTAATGACTAAAAATACAACTTGCTGTGTACAACCTGGGAAATCATATATATTGACAATTCAGTGGAAAAACAAAGTAAACACTATTTAATTGAAAATTTCCATTTATATTTATTAGAACATTGTTTCAAGCTTCAAGAAGGTACGGCAGTTAAAGAAAAATCACCCAAAACCCTAAAAATAGGGGTAGTAGTCTGTTTCAGTTTGATAAAAAAATAATAGTGGAAAAAGAAGCCTCCCACTCGCCCAAATAAATCAAACAATTGTAAGAGGTAGATGAAATAATGCATACAGTATTACCAGAAAAATAGTTGGATAGCCTTTTTTTTCCCAACAAAGACAGAACATTATTGGTGAACCCCAACCCGAAGCCAAAGCTACAGTGACCACAGGATAAGTAGGGGGGGGGAATTATGTTATAGTTCCATTTAAAAAAAAAAAAAAAGCCTCCTACCCACCCAAAAGAAAAGTCCAACAACTGGAAGAGGTAGGTGGTGACATAATGCATGTCTTAAGAAATCAAGCAAACAAGTTGGATAGCCTTTTTTTTTTCTTCTTCAACAAAGAAGACTGTCCCTGGAGTCAGAAATGTGTGCAGGTTCGTGTGGATAACAGAGGGAGATTTGTGCACACCATTTAGCAGAACCCGAAGCCAAAGCTACAGTCACCACACATTAAAACTCATCTATGTACATACAACACACTGACAGAGAATTTTCACTTGAATACACACCTGTCCTTTTGCTCTATGGTACATAGCACACAGCCTGACCATGACCACAGGATGTTCCATAATGTGAACATTGAAACAATTATAGTGGCTTGTTTGCAATTACCAGTGTTCACAAAAATCACCCCAAACTCTAAAAAAGGGGGGGAAATTATGTTATAGTTCCATTTAAAAAAAAAAAAAAAAAAAAAAAAAAAAGCCTCCTACCCGCCCAAAAGAAAAGTCCAACAACCGGAAGAGGTAGGGGACATAATGTATGTCTTTAGAAATCAAGCTCGAGAGCCTGGATAGCCAGTTCACTGATAAAGTCTGTTCTTCAGGACTTGGGCTTTTTTGGACAGTGCATTGCCTTCAAGCTCCATAACCACCTTCTGCAGCACTTCAAAGGTATACTTGAGTTCAGCAGGGTAGTTTAAGTTCAAAGAATATATTAGGCGAAACAACATGGCAGCAGCTAAGGGAACATTGTCCATATCCTGCATCACAATCTGGGACTCGAGGACAATGCCAATGTCCTCTGGTTTTTCACTGGCATCTCTGTGTTTCCAGACGTATATACCCATAGTGGTTTCCTCAATGGATTCCTGGAGGAGGGATTCATCTGCTGCCTGTACAATGCACAAAAAGAATCAAAGTGTGATTACACTACATGCCACATCCATATAGGGAATACTGCATATCTGTATTGAGTAATTTATTAAGATATCAAATCAAACTTTATTTATATGGCACTTTTCATACAGAAAGTAACACAAAGTGGCTCATAGAGTCTGAAAACCACACACATAACACACACTTTGATTTAAGCAATATTACCCAAGAGGGTAGGGACCGACAATCCTGACAGACTAATTATTAGAAACACTTCTCCAAAATAGTTTCAATAAAAAATGAGCATTAAAACCTTAAAGACAGTAGGATTTACAGCAATTATCATTATAATATTTTTGTAAATAATATCATCATAATCATGAGAAATCCATTCATTCTTGTTTAAACACATCCAGTAAACCAACAAAAGCAATTGAATAGTAATACTCACCACTACTACAAAGCCTTTGACACAGCACCCAGAGACATACCTTATATCAAATATTGGTCTTGGATGGAGGATATCTACACAGAAAAAATAAATAAATGTGAAACTCAACTCAAGGCAGGACATAACAATTGCAAAAGGCAGTGTTTCCCACAGGTTTTCAGGAGACTACGGGTGCGATCGGACCGTCCGACAGAGGGGGGGCGCGATCGCGGTGTATTTAATGTTTATCACCATTACAGCGCACCCTGTCCATGTGCCCGTGTTTGTGTGTGTAAGTGCATGAGCCAACGCGCGCGAGAGAGTGCAGGGAAGGAGGGGCTGACAGAGAGATATGAGAGACGGTATATATATATATTTTTCTGTGACAGACTGTGGCGGACCCATATGAGTTAATTAATGGAAAACACTGAAAGCCTAGCAACAACGACAGCTGAGAATATTACTGTCAAATATTGGTATTGGCCTCCTTATACATTTTTTTTAAAAATCACAGGCCATGTCTGCTCTGATACAAGTCAGTGATCCTTTCTCATCTATAATACACGATACCTAACGTTACTTTAATATCGCCTAGTCGGTTTTCCTCCATTTCGTTACAGCAGCCATGTTTCACCAAAGCCAATGTCAGAGTTACCCATCCCCCACACTCTTAACTTGTTTAATACCTCCGAGGTGCCAATTTGAAAAGAGAATAGACCTAGGCCTATGTTCTATGAATTTCCCCATACAAACTAGTTGCTGTGCACACATTACGTTAACAGACATAAAAACTAATAAAGAAAGATAAAGATATAAAGATAAAGATATTCAAGGAGGGCAGGCATGACCGCTACCATTAGCAACCAGTGAATGACCACAAACGTTAGCATGAAGACTGACTTGGATTTACTCGACATAACCGGCAAATAAAAAGCCAAACCTTTTCAAATCTTGATTATAAACACGCTGCTTCTAACACTGGCTCATATTTGACAAGTTTTTTTATTATCTTTATGTGTCCTGAGAAGCCCAAATCCATAGAAAATATCACAGCGAGGGAGAAAATGGCGGAGCCTGCAGGTCTTCAGCAACCGTTTCCTGTCCAGGAGCCCGCCCTAGGAGACGGCCTTTTCAACTTCCGGCTGATAGAACATAACTTTTTCCTTTCTTCTTTAAATGATGGAGACATGTAGGTTTTAAATTCCTCAATATTGAAATGCTTTTTAAAGATTTAATCATGTTTTGGAGAGAAATATAAATTAATTATGTAGCATAATGCATACTTGTAAATTGAACAACCCTCCTTCTTCCATTTTTTCAGTGCACTTCTCTGCCCTTCAGAAACATTTCCAGAGATATTTTCCAATGCAGGATCCCAAAGAATATGACTGGATCCGTGACCCCTTCAGTGCAACACCACCTGCCGACCTCAGCACAGCCGAGGAGGAACAGTTCATTGATGTCACCTCCGATTCAACAATGAGGCTGCACTTTAAGTCAAAGACACTGGCTGCATTTTGGATTGGAGCGGAGAAAGATTACCCACTGCTAGGTAAAAGAGCCCTGGCCATTCTTCTTCCTTTTGCCACATCCTACCTATGTGAGATTGTGGCTTCAATCAAGACAAAATACAGATCAAAGCTAGACATTGAAAATGAACTCAGAGTGGCAGTCTCACAACTGCAACCCAGATTTGAGAAGATGTGCAGCATGAAGCAAGCCCACACCAGTCCCTGAAAAGATGTGAGGGTTAAAGGTGTCATTTTTGCACAACAAATCTTTAGGTTTTTGTTTTTTAACTTACAGAGAGGCAATATTTGAAAAATTTCGTCAGCAATATTGAATACTGTTACACAGTTTTAAAAAAAACCTGTTAATCTGAAAATAATTACAATGTTAAGGTGGTTTGTTATCTTATTATTTATTTGTTATTACAAAAAAGGATGTAGTTTATTGCAGATTACTTTTATTTGTTTAAAAAAAGTTGCAGTTTGTTTTAATTGCAATGTATGAAATAAACTGCAATGGAGCTTGAAAACAAAATATTTGTTTGCGTATCATGGGGGGTTTAGAGTGTTTAGAGTATTTATATTTTTGCTATATGGGAAATGTTCCTGCATGAGGTTTTGCTAAGTAGTATATTCCCTCATGGCTTGAGGTGCTCATAGGGAATAGTCACACAGTGGCTGGTGCACATAGCAGTTTTACTAGATAGTATATTCCTCTGGAGCCAACGTGCTTCCAGGGAATGGCCACACGGAGGCTGGTGCCAAGGTCCACACATAGATTCTTCCACTAGTCCATTCTGTGCAGTTTTGAGGAGTTTAAGGTATTTGCTCATCAGTCCCCAATATCTCTATGTAAACATATCTGCTGAGGTCGGAGCCTAGACGCCAAAATCTATATATGCTATTCTGCTGTAATAAACATTTCAAACGTGAGTTGTCTGACTGAAATAATCTCATGACCCCTCAGATTAATTGACAACAAGCAAACATTATTTCAAATGCACAGCAACCATAAAGTTAAAACTAGCTCCATCTCAACTAGCTGCAACAGTAAAATGCTACTTATACATTATTGCATCTACATTCATAATAAAGCAAATTAATGCAGACTGGGTACTTTTACTTTGGATGTTTTGTTGCTGAGCAGGTAGTGTACAGTAGATTTTTAGAACTTTCTCTCTGAAAACAGCTGTCGGCTGCACTATGAGAGCACTGAGAGTGAACCAAAAGAGCTAGAAACAGTGGGCTGAATGGGGCCCTTTCACGTTGTCATTTGATACACTGTTATTATACAAATATTGATTATGTCATGAACATTGCTGTTGTTTTTGGACTATAATTTTACTGTAATATAATGTGTTATTTCTGCTAATGTTTTATCTTGTACATTGTGCTTTGGCAACACTGTTTCAATATGGTCATACCAATAAAGCCTCTTTGAATTTGATTATAGGTGCTTTAAAAAATATTAAGAAATTGGTTCAATCTAATCCAGTGACTTGTAAGTGAGAGAATGATGCTCAGAGCATTATTACTATTTTTATTAATCAGTGGATGATGTGACGGTAACTAACATGATGATATTGCCATAAATACATTCAAATCAGTCAAATTAATTAATAAATTAATTAATTGATTAATCGTCAGTTGGCTCAGTAATATCATAAAATCAGGGATATTTAAAATAAAATGATTTAATGGTTCTTGTTTACCATTAGATTCTTTCCACACTGTGACATTTGAGGAGTGTTATTCAACATCTGCCAGTCTCACTCGTGGATGTATTCTGGTCTGCTGTATCAGCAAATGGCCAGCGGGTGTCACTGTTGCTATGTGGACACATGCATGGACAGAGACAGGAAATGTCCCTTGATATGAGAGTGTGTTTACAACTTAAAGCTGCGTTCATTGATTTTGTTGTTGCTGATGACCAACACAAAGATGTATAGAATAAAACTATTACCCACACAGTGAGAAGGCTTGGAGCAACATTTGCATTTGCAATTGTGTTTCTGGCTACCAGAATTTAAGTTGATTATTTTCTCTCCTTTCAGCTCTGTTTTGCTCTCCACCAATTCCATGTCTTTAACTTTCTGGATGTTCAATCACCTGCTTGTCATAAACTTAAAGTCACTTACTATTGGCTATATCAGGCCTTTTATTAGGAGGAAATGACTGAACTGAAAAAAAATATGCATTATTAAAAATAAAAAGTAATAAAACAGATAAGATGTGAAATAAAATGCTAGATTGAACTGAATATCACGACTGGGTCAGGACCTAATCTTTTAGGTTTCTGCACCAGTGTGGTTGTTCTTGGAGATGACCACTAGATGATGTTGCTACCATTATGATATATCTTCATTTGCGTACGTCTACATCTGTGGGTGTTTCGACCCTTTAACACAAGACTCCCTCAGTCGAGGCAGGCCTACCACACGCTGATCAAACCTTATTTTAGTATTATTCCTCCCTATAAGTCTACTTTAAATGTTACAGGGCTCTTATGACTCCAGTTTTGTACAAGAGAAATCAGAGACAGTCGTGTTTTAGAAGTCATCAAATACTGTGTCTAAGGTTTTAAGAAACAAAACTGAAACCATAAAAAGTACAAGTACATCAAAACAAGTAGGGTTATCAACTATAAACTATGTGGCATCTACATCCACACATATATTTGCTTCACCATTCACTTACTGTGACGCAACTAATTTACAAAAGAAGGAAGACGTGTTAGCCACGGCAAGTGCTTATTTTAGTTAAAACAGGAAGTCTAAAGTCATTCTTACAGTGAGTTGGTGGACGTTGTTGTGTCTTACTCTGCTCGTCAACATGGCTCTTCATCTCCGGGTTCTTCTCATCTTTACTGGACTCACAGGTCAGTCACAGGGCTCATTTTATCATTTCATGTATGCAGCACACACATAAGGAAACACAGAGGATGATGTGACAATAACTAACATGATGGTATCGTCATAATTACAATAAAATTCATCAGATTGATTCATTAAAAGTCAGTTGGTTGAGTAATAAATTAATATCATATAATATTTACAGTAAAATGGTTTCATGTTTCTTGTTGCAGGAATTCACAGCATAACTACAGTCAGTGAAGTGTCAGTGAAGGCTGGAGGCTCCATCTCTATCCCATGTCTCTATGAGCTAAAGTACACACACCATGTCAAATACTTGTGTAAAGGATATAACTGGAATTTCTGCTCCTACAAAGTTAAAACTGATCGACCAGACAGTTCAGGAAAGTTTTCAATCTCTGATGACAAACAACAAAGAATTTTCACTGTGACTATTAATAATCTGATGATGGACGACACTGATTACTGGTGTATTGTGGAGATAAATGACGGGCCAGATTACGGGAAATATTTTCAGCTGTCAGTCACCAAAGGTAAGAACCCTTAAAGAACCTTTAAGTTCATTTCAAATCCTTTGTGAAATGTGAACGATGTTGAATACAAACACTGATGGGGAGTTAGTAGTGTAGTTTTGCTGCAGAGACAGAATATTTTGATATTACAATGACTTTGTCAGTCAACAGTACTTAGAATAAACGTGAATGCTGAAGTTATTTATCTGCCAGATGTAACTGTACAAACAGCTGCCTTTGAAGCATCCTCACAATGGACCAATTACATGGCTGCCCACAATGTTCTAGTTAATGCTATTTGTTCTTCCTCAAGGTTGGCCCCAACTCTTTGTGGATCATCAGGAGATTACAGGATTTAATGGAGAAGATGTAACCATCCATGGTAACTATAGTAACACTGGAGAGATTGAGTGGTGCAGGCTGGGAGGGTCCTGTGTGAAGGAACCGTCTGGATCAATAGATGGAACAAGAGTGACCATTAATGCAAATGTCCCCAAAGTTTTCACTGTGACTATGAGTGGACTGAGGACAGAGAGCAGCGGCTGGTATTTCTGTACCAAAGGACTTCTACAGATGCCAGTGCATGTGACTGTTAAAGAGAGACCCAGCACTAGTAAGGACCATTCTACTATTATAAAATGTTCAGCTGTAAATATCTGCCACGTGCAGCCATTAGTAAAGGTTTGCATTTAATATAGAAGTGATATTAGTATTCATTATTGTGATATGATTCTGGTGATCATTGTGTTGTTTCACATGTTCACTCTTACAATGAAATGACGTTTAACCACATTTTCACCCACAGCTGAACCTGTGAATCACACTGCTGTCTCTGCATATGGGGAACCTACCACAGTTCAGGGTGGGAACCACGGGTCAGTAGGCTTTACATTCACATACAGTATTTAGAGAACAATGGCTAATTTATGGACAAATAAATCATTCCTTGTGAGGGAATCTATATACTTGTGTTCTTTACTGACATTATTTGACTTATGTGACCTATATGATAACTAAGGTTAATTTCTATCACTAAAATATGATTGTGTACAGCTGCAGTAAATATGACCAGGATGATGAATACTTCAGACTACATTGTTTGATTGTACATTGATTCAAACTGTTGTTGCAGAGCTTTCATCATCCCTTTGAGTTTGTTGATCTTCATTGTAATGGTGGCCTCGTTCATCTGGTTCATGTTGAGAAGACACAGTAAGTCTATTCTGAGCTTTCATGAATCCAATCATCAATATTTGGACTGTTTTTAATTGAAGTGTAGACGTGTGCAGCATTGTCATTGCACAATGACAGTCATTAACAGGAGGTTTTACTGTTTCACTTTTACAACAAACCAAAGCACCAGCATCAGCTGCAACTGAGGTAAGATATGATGATTTATATTATCTTTTTACAACAAAGGCTGTAAGGTTCCTCAGTATAGAGCCAGAGCTGCTATCATCATCCTTTGTGTTTACACTGCAGTGTCGGGCAATCATCAGAAGAGACACACACATTCACACATTATATGCAGGTGCTGAATTATATATTACTGCAGAAAAAGGTGAAAAATACCTGCACACTGCAGGTGTGGTTAGAGAAGCAGGTTTGAAAGCAGTAGGTTAGAAAAATAAAAGAGCAGCACTTGCTCCTCCCTTTTTACTAGCACTAAGGTTTCCTTAAGCAGAGCTCTTCCGTTTCAGTTTTTTGCATTTACAGTTCTCACCCAACTCAACTTTAGAGAAAAAACTAAACTAATAATTACGTGATTTAGCAAAATATAATTCAATTAATTGACAAGAAACACACAAAATGAACAGAAGAATTCATCAAATCAGCAGACAATATGTTAACAGAAAAAACAATACACTTATAAAAGAAAAGAAAGAAAGAATGAATCAAGAACTAATGAGACATCATTAATTAAATGTCATGACAGTTTCTCTTTCCCTCAAAAATGTGTACATTACAGATCTGTACCCTGTGACAATACTGGCCATGTTTCATTTTTAGAAGATACAGTTTAAAAAAGGTTGCTAAGAGATTATAGATGACAGAGGACAGAGCATATTTACCACTGACAACATATATAAGATATTTACATATAACTACACATCTGGTAATTATTTATATGATATACTGAATGCATGTGAAGAGTCATTAATCAACCTTGATAGTTTGCTGATGATCCCCAGTGACCATTAACTTTACTGAGAATGTCTAGAATATATAGTTTGGTTTAGTGAATTATTCAACTGTAATTCTACTGATCATGATTTTTATTGTTTTAAAATTATGTTTATATTCCATGTTGGATATTTCAACAAACATATACATAATGCAAATTGCTTCGTGCTGTTGCTTGTGCTTTGCTCCCTTTTCACAGGCAGAAGAGGAAGTATCATACATTGCTGTGAAGCATAAGAGAAAAACTCTTGTCAAGGTAACCACAGTGATATCAGGTTTTAAAATATATTATATTTGAAATAACTGTATCTTAATCTCTAGTATTTGATTCAGTAACGATCTAAACATTATATCATAAATAAAAGTTTCAGGTCACAATTTGAATCTTTGCTCTTCCTTTCTTTCATCTTCTGTTCTCCAACAGGTTGAAGCAGCAGATGAGGATGTTGCATATAGCACACTGGCTCAGGACTAAATTAAGGTCAATATTAGGTCTCTCTGTAGCCTGTCTAGCCTTGAGGTTTTACATCTGACAAGCCACTCATGTAAAAGAAACTTTGATTTAGTGTGACAAGTACAAGCTGGCAGTGTACAGCGCAGCTCTAGTAACATCATCATAAGACTAAAAAGAGCGAGACAGTAGTTGAAACCAGCAGTGTTATTGAATGCATACTTAACTTTGCAATAAACTACTTCAGTGACTCATTGGTCCAGCTGTCAATATCAGTCTGCAAGTTACTGAAATCTGCACATCTTGAAATACAATAAAAAATCACTGAAAAAGATGCTCCCATATTCTTCTTTGTTTCATGTTATTCCATCAGTGTTTCCTGTTTTATTGTGTAATACACACCTCCCTTTGTTTCAGTGACTTTACTTCCTGTCTTTATGTGCTTCTCTTTTGACCCGCCCCAATTAGTTTCACCTGTGTCTCATTATCCTCATTCTAGTGTATTATTAGGCTGTGTGTTCCTTTGTCTCAGTGGCAGTTTGTCTTTGTATGTGAGTCCAGTGTTCTGGCACTTTCCCCAATATTGTTTGGACTTCTACTTTGTTTTCTTGGAACTCGCCCTTTTGTGGACAAGTGATGGGCCTGACAGTTCCTTTCAGAGTACTGAATTATTAAGAATTGTTCATTAGAAAACAGTTTTTTTAGCACATGACTAGAGCTCCGACTGTGTGGTCATTCATGGAGGATAAACTAGTGAGCTGAGAATTTAGCTGGATAAAGGTACAGTTTGAAAACTGAAAGTTCAGTTCCTGTTATATACATAGGGTTGTCACTTTTTCCAAAAATCACGTTTAAACAAATTTCAAATGACACATAATTCGTTCTAATGAATTTGAATAAATTGAATAAAATCTTCGGAATTTCTCGATAGAGAAAAAAGCTGATAAGCAAATATTAATAAAAGCTTGTCTGGCCTGTAAGCTTTTTTGTATTGACTGACTGCAAAAAGCTCTGCTTCTGAGTCTGCATTTGGGTCCTTTTTCTGTATTCCTGCCACCCTGCTTGAACAATTGCGATCAACAATCATTTTACTACTGCTTACAGGCATGTTCATTCGGTTTACTAAACGCACACAATCATTTTTACTTTACAAATACCATTCTTTCTCAAAAAGGTAATCAACCTGAAGGTAGAACTCTGCGGGTTGAGATTTGTATTTTTTTTGTAAGTCATTCTTAATGCATGGTCTCCTCTTAATTGCCAATTGTAGTGTGTGCAGGAGGTTGTCACCTGTACAAGGGTTTTCCCTGGACACATCAAGTTTGCTTTGGGGTGCTCAATATAAACTGGGAGTTGTTTCACCATTATCATTTGTGAGGGGCTTAGTGTGATCTGGCTGCTCAGAAAATAAGTACATGTATATTTCCTAAACAGCTACTGTATTTTCTGGACCATTTTAGCTGGAGGAGGGGAGTTGATATACTTTTTATTTATAGTAGTACTTCACTTCCTCCATGTCCTTCTGTATCATAAGGGAAGTGATGAAGGGCATTTAGGTTTCAGTGTGTCTTGAGAGTTTATTTTTGTAAGAGGCACCATTTCAGAAAGCAGGTTTAGTGAAAACTCTGAGTTAGTTAACCCTGAGATGAGGGGAAACTCAGTTTTTTCGGTTTCACAAAGCCAGTTCAGCTTAACTCTGAGTCAGTTACCCTGGCAACATACTCCGTGAACCTAACCTGCTCGCTGTCAGGTTTTCTTCAACTAACAGACTGAAGGCAGTTGCAGACATGACGTGTCCTTTTCTTGAAGAGCCAGTTGATGTTGAGGCGCTGATACTCCGCAGAAATCTCCGTCGGGAGAGGATTATTAGACCCCGATTGGATGTTTTATCATTCCCTGATGAGTACCTTTTCCGTTTCTCTGCATCGTCAATAATTTATCTAAACAATATTCTCAGCCCTCACATCGTTCACATGACACAGGACACGCTCTCAGTTCCGAGCAAATTCTTTGTATTGCACTGCGTTTTTTTTGCCAACAGCAGTTTTTTGTATAACATCAGTGATGCAGAGCATGTGTCCAAGGCAACTGTCTGTCGGGCTGTCCGAAATGTGACACTTGCACTGAAACGGCTACTATAAACGTTTGTAGTGTTCCCAAGTCACAGACCCACCAGACTTCTCAAAGAAGAGTTCCACAGAATTGCAGGTATCAGTCTAAGCAATAATGAATTTATGTCATAAAGCTTTGAGATCTGTCCACAGCATTAATGTACAGGTAGGCCTAAATAGTAGCCTTTAACGTTCCAAATTAAATACTTCACTATACAGCTAATTACTGTTCTCCACTGTGAAGATCATGTGATGCAGCCCACATGATATACAATGTGGAAGCGAAGTGGCCTGGGTCTGTGCATGACTCACAAATGTTTTGTGAGTCTACACTGAGTGCCAGATTTCCCTGTGGTGAGTTTATATACAGTATAGCTATATCCTATGATCAATATTTTGTTTCAAGCTATTGCAACTGAAACATTAAACTGTATCTTGTATTATCATAGGAGAGTTCGATGGTTACCTACTCGGAGACAGAGGGTACCCCTGCCAGCACTATCTGCCGACCCCTTACCCTGACCCTGGCCCACAGCAACACTACAACTTGGCTCACTGCAGGACACGAGCCAGAGTGGAGATGACCATCGGAATACTCAACACCCGGTTCCAGTGCCTTCGTAGGCTCAGGCTCACCCCAGAAAGTGCTTGTGACATTATAGTGGCATGTGTGTGGAACCAGCTTCCAGTTGTGGTTCGGGAGGCAGACACCCTCACCGCATTCAAGAGTAGGCTTAAGACATTCCTCTTTGATAAAGCTTATAGTTAGGGCTGGATCAGGTGAGTCCTGAACCATCCCTTAGTTAGACAGGAGGATCTGTCCTAGGTTTCTGCCTTTTAACAGGCAGTTTTTCCTTGCACTTGTTGCCAAGTGCTTGCTCGTGGTGGTACTGTTGGGTCTCTGTAATTAATGTTTTAAAGAGTTCGGTCTAGACCTGCTCTATTTGAAAAGTGTCCTGAGATAACTTCTGTTATGAATTGGCGCTATACAAATAAAATTGAATTAAATATGTGGTTCTCCACAACATTGCCACTATTAGGAGAACAATGTCCTACTCTTTTTCCCCAATGATCCAGATAATAATCCTGACCCCCCTGCTGATGCACGAGATGAAAGAGCTGTTAGAGACATGATATGCTTCAATCATTTCTAACTGACCCATCACCTCCCCAGTGTCAAAGAACGACAATATGCCTCTCATTTTATGAGGTCTTCTTTATTTCCTAGAAGGACAAATGTTGTACAGTTGTTAATCCTTTATTGTTGAAACAATTAAAAATCATCCACCTGTGGGCACATCACCCACCTTTAACTGATGGTCCAGCAGTTAAATTTCCATTTTGTCACGGTGATGTGCAGCCTTATATGTTCCATTTCTAGATGTGATTTGTGATTGTAAATATACATTTTGTAGAGTTGTTTCACAGGGAGCTATAGGAACATAAATGATGTTGAATTTCACAGTGCCATGTCTACTCCACTTGTGCTGTGGAGGCTGATGGACCATCTTCCTCATTGTAATTTCCAGCATTACTCTGTTAGAGAGAAAGAAGTTGCAAGTTGTATTGTGGAACATCATCCTCCTGTAATGAAATAGAATGATTGTTATATTCTACCCATTATGACAAATCTGTGGAATATTAAGAGTACTTACAACAGCATGGAGGTCTGTTATGGCAGAAGGCTCCACAAGACAGATTACACCATCAGTAACTGGTAGAAGATGAAGATTAGACAGTTGATTACCCAGAAAAGTGCCCCACCTAATTTACTTTTTTTTTTTTTACCAATAGTGTGCAGGTCCCATCACAATTTTTCAAACTCTGAGTCACCATAAAATAGATTGATATCTGAAAGCAACAGCAGCCAATTACAAAGAACTGTAGCTTCCTGCTACAAGAAAAATCAGTGTGCCAAGTTGTGTCTAAGATGAATGGGTGGCCATTACTGAGCGCACACTAGAAAAAGGATTAATGTACATGCCATTCATTTGAATAACTTACCTCTTATGTAGGCCCCTGTGTCCTGGGGCGTGGCTGGGTCTGATGAGCTCCCCCCAGAGATGCCCTCAGCAATGGGTCACCCACTGTTCTGACTGAAGGCCATCTCTTCAGCCTCTGTGAGAGGTGGTGGTGGTGGACCGCCACCTGTTTTGCGGGCCTCAGCTTTTTTTCTGTTGGCTATAATGGAGGTCAAATTTAAACATATCCAGAAAACACAAATTTGGAGACTTGTATGTATAAAAAGCATTTAGGTGTTGCTTTCATATAGACAGTATTAAATACTGGCAGTGTTGGGATATATCTTTGTTTAGCAGATTTCCCTAATTACTTAAATATATCTATCACATGTTGAATGTAGCCACTAAATGCTGTTTAATGAGGGCAGGCTAAACAACATCACAATTGCTTGTACTTAAATTATACCTTACCTGTTTGAACTACATTTTTACATTTCATCTTTAGTTGCTGCCAAGTCCGTTTGGTGCATGTTGGGTTGCACCTGTGCGCACAAAACACATATGGAATATAATTGTTGAATAAGTGGAACATTCAAGACAAAACATTTCTTTTTTTCCAATTAATACTCACGCATTGACTCGGTCAGCAATGTTCTGCCACGCGAGCTCCCGCTCTTTTGCTGCTGCCCAGTATTGTTTTTTAAAAAAAATATATGCTCACTTTCTGCATATGCGGTGATTAATATTTCCAACTCCACTAGGGAAAAGTAGGAGGATCGAGGTCCATGGTGAATCATGTTGTCTGTGTTCCATTGATGAGGGCTTTTTATATCCTCATGCACAGGCTTCACTCAGGGTTACCTTGACTCAGAGTTGATTAAACTAAGTGTTATCGCCTGTTCTGAAACTGAAAACTCAGAGTTTGACAGCTCAGAGTTGGTCAACCTAGAGTTAAGGTTTTAACTCAGAGTTTGGCTTTCTGACTGTTTTATCACAAATGCCATTCCCTTTAGTCTTTCAACCACTAACTCATACTGTAGCTGGAGAAAATCTCCGGCTCTTAAGATGTGTGGAACTAGTTCTCAACAATAACATTGCTGTCCCAGGTTTTTCTTGCTCCCTCTGTCTTTAGCATGTGAGCAGCACACAGCACTGTCAGTGTCTTGGACATGAACTTTGTTCTGAGCACCTAACTTCCTTTTCTGTACTTGTAACTGTAACTGCTGCCAGTCATTCCTCATATGAAGCCGATTGGTCCAAACCACTGTGGACACAAATGCGCAGCTTGAAAACTGGCAAGATGGATTCCCACGTGCTTTGTGATTTCATGATCTTGTGATTTCATGACCAACTTTCTCACTTCCCTTAACATACATTAGTGGAAAGTGTGAAAAAAATCTATAAAAAATAAGCATGTAATATCACAGTTACACAAGGCACTAAGTCATGTTGCAGAAGTACTCTATCATTGCTACAGTATATATGGTCATAAAATGTCAACACAAGCACGAGTACATGGGTTACATGAGTTATGCACAAGCACATAAGATTATATCATTTATAATTATATATATATATATAGTGTGTATATTACGGCATGCCGTTCAGGAAATTAATCTTTGAATATATTGAATGAAACTTTGAATATATGGAATGAATCCTTGAATATATTGAATGAACCTTGAATATATGGAATGAATCCTTGAATATATTGAATGAATCTTGAATATATTGAATTAATCTTTGAATATATTGAATGAACCTTGAATATATTGAATGAACCTTCAATATATTGAATGAATCCTTGAATATATTGGATGAACCTTGAATATATTGAATGAACCTTCAACATATTGAATGAATCCTTGAATATATTGAATGAATCTTCAATATATTGAATGAATCTTTGAATATATTGAATGAATCTTTGAATATATGGAATGAAACTTGACTGACGTCATCAAGGCACTGCTGCCATCTTGTGTTTTGCTGCTGCAAGAAGTGAGAGTGAGTCAGTCAGCTCGGAACCTTGTGGCAGCAATACTAAGCAATGAGGACATTATTAACTCATTGGCAAGTGCTTGTAAGGGCCAAAATCCTCCCGATAGTACCCATGCCCAATACCGTTCTCCTGACGAAGAAGTTCGCTCCCTTTTTAATCGAATGTCGCAATAATGGGAATATGTTCCTCAAGGTGACGCGATATAGTCTCCAAACTGTTAGTGTCATTTGGAGTACAACCTGTAGCAAAAAAGTTTTCCAGTTCAAGAAAGTATTGGAATATTTCAACTGATGCCATTTTGTAAAACCAGCGAATTCAGAAGGCTATCACTTTGATGAAAAGGATACAACTAGGTTTTGAATTTCATTCAGTATTCTCAATTTTGTATCAGTATATCCAAGCTCCATTCCATACATTCAAGCTTCATTTGAAATATCCCAGCTTCATTCCAACAGTCTTGAAGGAGTTCCCAGAGATGCTGAGCACTTGTTCGCCCTTTTGCCTTCACTCTGCGGTCCATCTCATCCCAAACCATCTCGATTGGGTTACAGTCAGGTGACTGTGGAGGCCAGATCATCTGGCGCAGCACTCCATCACTCTCCTTCTTGGTCAAATAGCCCTTACACAGCCTGGAGGTGTGTTTGGGGTCATTGTCCTGTTGAAAAATAAATGATGGTCCAACTAAATGCAAACCGGATGGGATGGCATGATGCTGCAGGATGCTGTGGTAGCCATGCTGGTTCAGTGTGCCTTCAATTTTGAATAAATCCCAGACAGTGTCACCAGCAAAGCACCCACACACCATCACACCTCCTCCTCCATGCTTCACGGTGGGAACCATGCTTGTAGAGACCATCCGTTCACCTTTTCTGCGTCGCACAAAGACACGGCGGGGGGAACCAAAGATCTCAAATTTGGACTCATCAGACCAAAAGCACAGATTTCCACTGGTCTAATGTCCATTCCTTGTGTTTCTTGGCCCAAACAAATCTCTTCTGCTTGTTGTTTTTCCTTAGTAGTGTTTTTTTAGCAGCTATTTGACCATACAGGCCTGAACAGTTGATGTATGTATATATATATCAAGCAAAACTTAAGGTTTATTGTCTGTGGATATCGTTGTTAATATATTTTACTACTATCATACTAAGAAACATTGTGGCAGTGGTGTACTTTGATGCTGTTTACAAAGACAAAATGAAAGCTGCCAAATTTTTATGAGATAAAAATATGTTTGCACAAGCAGACATGCTAGAGAAATTTATGGTATTTCTTTTATACACTGTACTCTTAATGAGTTTTACTGAAATGTCACTTTGACTAAAATAAGGAATATTTTGAGGAAGATTAGTTCCCTTTTTCGTGAAGAGCTGCAACAGTTCTTTGGTTTGTGTGATGTAATCTGACCTATATATATTTCTGATTTACATGATCTCACCCTTCATTACCGTATCACTATATTCATGCATATTGATCAATAAATATCTATGCTGCAGTTTACCTACCATTCTCTCCTATTGAGTTTACTTTGATACTTTTCTTTGTTTATTTTTTACCATAAAGGTGAAATGTGTTCAGCTGAGACTGCAGTTCAGAATTGAAATTTAACTTTGGTTTGATTTTTTTTGTAGAACTCCAAAAACCTTTAACTTGTAGCTACTGATATGGTTATTTTGGTTGTAGTTATTCCAAATGTATCTATTCTATCACCTTACCGAGTAAGGATTTAAAGAGTTTTTGTTTATAAAGCCCAAAACAATCACTCAGTTGTCCTCATAAAGAAACCAACAATTAGACAATATTATGTGTAAAATCATTAAGAAAGCTTAGCTTTAAATACATTTGTATTCATATTATTTCAACATATATAAATTATTATAGTATGTTGATTAACAGGATGAAGGATGAATCACAGATGTTTCTATTTCTGTTTTGCTTTTGGATTGTTTTTATTGTTTCTTTCCCTGCTCTTCTTTTTTAATCGAATCAGATTTGAATCAAATCAAATCTACCCCTTTTTTCACTTCAGCTTTAAAAGATGTACAACTTGAGTATCCAGGCTTCAAAAAGAAAAAGAAAGATCTTAAATGTATAAATATACCTGTTTCTTGTGTTGAATTGAATTGTTATTGACGAGCCAGTTTAATGCTGGCAAATATTGTTAATTTTGCTGATCCAGTTCCACACTGCCATCATTCAGTCTGTTCTCTGTTCATCCATCACTGTCTGGTTTGGTTCGGCCACCAAACAGGACAGGAACAGACTACAGCGGACTGCAGAGAGGATCATTGGTGCCTCCATTCAGGACATATACGTCTCCAGAGTCAAGAAGCGGGCAGGAAACATCACTGCAGCTCTATCTCACCCTGGACACAACCTGTTCCAACTCCTCCCTCTGGTAGGCGCTACCGAGCTCTGTACGCCAAAACAAAGAGACACAGGAACAGTTTCTACCCACAGGCCATCACTGACCAACAATTACCTGCCCTGTACAATACCTGTGAACTATTTATTATTTATTTTTCCAATGTTGAAATTCTGTTTCTTTTTTAAAACATAAATTCCATAATTCTAATACATCTCCCTGTGCTGTGCATACTGTATATACTGTCATATCCACCAACCTCGTGTACATAAAGAAACCTGCATGTAAAATATTTCAGCATCCTTTGCACACTGCACCATTGTCTACTGTCTACAAATGTTATTGTTTTTGTTTGTTTATAGATGTATAACTGTACATATTAGTCTATGTCTGTTTTGTTGAGCTTGTTGTCCTGTGTATTTATGCTTAGTCCGTGTTTGTACAATGAGAGCAAGGTAGATCCGGAATCAGATTCCTTGTATGTGTGCACTGTGCACAAACCTGGCAAATAAAAGTGATTCTGATATTGATGCCACATACAGAAGTCAAACACAATGCTGCATTCACGATACTGGTAAGGAATACTGTTATCTTCAGTTAGATCTCTCTGAAACCTGTGAACTGCATAGTTTAGTTGTCTATATGCGTGCAACCAATCTGCTGTCCACACTGAAAATAGTAATAGTTCAGGGGTGATACGAATTGATTGAAATACATCAGTTTTTGGTTACATAACAGATTTCCATATTATTATTAGTGATAAACATTCATGAAAAAATAGGGGATAAGACAAAATGCAAATTCTTAATACGCATATACCATCAGAAAGCTGGGATGGATAACATTTGTGGATGAAGTGAATGATATCTATGAGCAATTTTTGTACATTAACATTTTTCTAGAGCAGAGGTGCCGTATTTACTACCTTTGTTGTGTAACGTGAATGCAGCATAACAGTTAGCTCGGTAGCCGCTAGCAGGCGAATAATATGAAAATCTCATGAGTGTCGCTTCTTACTTTCTTTTATATGGCACTTAATTGCAACAATGTTAAGATTCCGAAATACCAATACTGTGACACTGGTCATTTTAACGCTCGTTGTGGAAGGACTCGTATAATTAATTCAAAGTTCGTTCCTAATCCTCATGTTATTGTTTGCTAACATTAACGTTAGCAGGCATGTCCGCTAGCTGAAGTAAAGGGACGCGTTGGTTGTGTATTGCCATGGTTCTTTCTTTCAGCACAGACACTGAGGATGTTCAGTGAAGGCAAAGACACACACGGACAACTGCCACTAAAGGGAGTTGTCTGGCACAATAACAGGTACCTGGAGAGTCAGTCAGCCATACTTAACCAGCTATATTAATGAGCGTTAGTGTATTGCAATTGGTTTTTAAGTATTGCTAGCAACGTAACGTAGGTTAACTTAGTGGAGTGCTTTGTCTGGACTCTCTGGTTGCACGCGCTTTTGTGCCAGATAAGTTAACGCTACATTAACGAGACTTTCACTATTATTTGGTTCATAAACTAATTTGACTGCCAGCAGTATTTGTGCCAACTTTTGTGTCATCTTTGTTCAAAAAGGCACACAGCCCCCCCCCGTTATTTTAGAATAAATTAGCATAATGTTAGGCATGGCTGTCTGTACATAATGCTGTTTTCTGTCGCTTTTATTTAATGTGTAGGTTAAAGCTGCAGTATGTAACGTTTATAAAAAAAACAACTTTTTGTCATTATTGCTGAAATTTTCACTGTTCTCACAGTAGTACTTGAGACAGATAATCTGTGAACAAAATCAGGTTCCTCTGGCTCATTGTAGTGCTCCTAATGGCATTTGCAGGAGTCCACTGGGCCTGAATGAAAACAACCAATCAGAGCAGAGAATGATATAAAGACAATTCGGGTTGGAAGCCTGAAGATAGATGACTTTTATTCCCAAGGCCCCAGATTGTCTGTGTTTGACACCCTGGGAATGATACTCAACAATCACCCATCTTTCTCGCCTCTGATTGGTTGTTGTCGTTCAGGCCCGGTGGAAATGCCATAGATGAGAGCGGCCCATCCGGGTACATTGGCCTTGCATCAAGCCCCTGCTCCCTCTTGGGCAAAAGCAGCCCCTCCAGTTTGACTGCCAGTAAATGTAAATTCCGATGTTTGCCAATTTAATACCATAAAATAAGAATACTGTATTGCTTTTTCGCTATTAGGAGCCAAAAGCCTACGGCCAGCAAGGCAAACCATTAAGGTGTGTCATTGCCGTCTTCAGCGTCATTACAGAGAAACGTTTGATGAGTGTGCTTTCAGTTTGCCTCCATCAAAAGTGGACGGACCTGACAAACAACTCCCTTTCAGCTAGCTGACAGAAGTAGATATAAGTCGGTTTTATTTCCGCTTCCTGCGTTACTTTATGCTGTTTATAAGGCTCATTATTGGAAGGTAGGTCAGCTCAGGATTATTTAGGTAAAAATACCCTCTGCTCCACACTGTCAAACCAAACTCCATTTCAAATGCAGCTGTTTTATGGTTGGGCCAGATTATTTCACAGTAAACACTTTATTTACACCATCACTAAGACTCTTTACTGATTCACTTCAATCTACAGTTACAATTGGCACACACTTATTTACTCAACAACATCATTAACTAACCTTTAGAAGGGGGACCTCTCTATGCTGGGTCAGCGGGTCTATACCTGTCAAGTGTAATACAAAACTGTTGAACAGGTCACAGAACCCAGGTGCCTAATGTTTTGACCTTCTTCTGCTGTCAGCTATATCATCATCTCTCCTTGCTCTTGCATTTTTGTCCTCGTCATCATTTGCAGGGCTTTCCCCACACTGTAAGCTGCAGCCCTAACTGTGACGAGACAGAAGATACGATGCACTGACCACATAGTCACAAACAACTCAAAAATGAAAGGTATGTTGTAGGTGGCTTTTTTTTATTAGTAGTCTGTTAAGGTGCACTCACAGTCTTCTTGCAAACCTTTCTCTGTTCTTGTGGAAACAGAATAGTTTGTATAAAGAGACAGAGACTGTGGTCCAGATTTACATGCAGTAGAAAAAAGCACTGTGCCATTCATTTATTCAAATTTGCATTTATGACAGCGGCTGAGCAATGAAATATGTAACGCCACTGCTATCTAGTTAAATATTTCAAGCAGGGAGCAAACATTTTTGTCCACCAGCCAGATGGCTTGTAAATGTTCAAATCTGTCAGCCACTTGCATATTTTACCAGTAATTTGCTGGTAGCGGGTGCTAAGTTTGTGTGGTCTGTACCTTTTTCAGGTTACTATTAAATGTTTGTTGTGTGATACTGAATATATGTTCTGTTAGATAGGCACTGGTAGACAGAAGTAAATGAAACAGTGGAATGTGTTAAGATAACTATGGCACTATAAATTACTCAGTGGCTGCCAGTCATTCTGGTTAGGTAGGAAGCAGGAACAGGATGACCAAAGAGGTGGAGCAGCAGATGCGCTGACACACGTGACTTTGTTGGCATCCACAAAGTTATCCAAGTATTCACAGTGCCAAATTTGTGTTTTTAAGCTGTGTTTCTTTTTCCTTAGCTACTCATTTGCACACTAGGTCACATGGTTTGTTACACAGCAGTTGAGGTGAATCAACTGGGGCAAGCCAGGAATGTGAAACTCAAAGCCACTGTTTCTCTCCCCTCCCTCCCTTAGTCTCAACTCCACTCCACTCATGCATCCCCTGCTACGTTTCCCCTTCTGCAGTTGTCACTGACATCCCTACAGACCAGTTCTGCTTTTTTTCAATACCATGTCATATGGTAAATACCGTATCATAAACTTTGTGTCTCAGCAGATATCATTTAAACATAAAACAGCCTGGAATGAATTACAGCATTAGACAAAGAGGTTAGCTGTAGGTCATAAAAGACATAAAAGTGCTCTACAGTCACTGCTTTTGTTGCTTTGTGGTTGGCCCTTTTTTTATTGGGTTATTTGTGTGATGAGGTGTAACCATTTCTAGGAATATGAGAGTGTGGCTGTTGGTCACAATCAGCTGTAGACTTGAATGAGCTTGCCAGTTACTTTCAGTTTCATTTCTCTCTGTCTTTGCTCAGAAAGAAACACAGTAGGTAAGAGGGAGGGAGGGAGGGCAGTTTATAAGCTAAAACAGGAAGGTTTCTGTTATACACAGCAGTGCAGCTTCTGAGGGAGATGAACCACAGATCCTGTAATTTGTTTGTATAGGTAGGATATACCCAATCGCTACATATTCTTCATGCAACTTTGTACTTTTAACTGGTTTTTCCGTGTTCCTTTATATATGTTGGTAATGTTACGCATTGGCTAATTGTTTTATTGTTTTGGTACAACTTCAGTTATTATTATTTCTGTAATTTTCATGCCATCGTTTAACAACCTAAATCCTAACCTAAATTTTACATTTGACAAGCTGGTGTAGTATCATGGATGGGTCCATTTCAGTTTTGTGGTATAAACGAAAACATTATCTATTATGCTTCTAGATTGGTATGTATAGTCATAAACAAACACTAATGATTCATTGGGTGTGTCTGTAAGAAGAGAAAATAATCCGCCTTATGAATTATTGTGCTTGCTTATCACTATGCTGGTTGCTTGGTTTTAAAGAGTTTAATGTGGTTATGGTGAAGGATTGGGTGATTAGCGCCTTCTGATGCAGTATTGCAGTTTTAGTGTTGAGCACTGGGCATTGAATTACAATCTTCTGAGTACTGACCAAAGTGTGTCTGTAGCATTTTTGGACAGATTGTTCGTCTGGTTCTTTCATCACATATTTCAACATGTGTATCAGGAAATCAGCAGCCTGTTGCAGCAGCTGCCAATGCAACATTGATGCATTGGCAGCTGCTGAATTTTCAGCGATAATAATAATCTTTCTATTGTTTTGGAAAAAATAATTATATTCTTTATACCTGCAATAACTATTTGTTGGCTGAACAGTGGCTTATTTAGCAGAAATGGAGCAACATTAGGTTTCATTTAGAGTTGTGTTTTCAGCCACCTGATGAAGGTTAACCTGATATTCACTCTCCTTGTACCTCTGTTTTGGTCTATAAATCTCCAAACTGAGGGGAACTGCAAAGCTATAATTCTCTGTGGGTTAATGAGTGATTGCTTTCATACACACAGTCATTGGAGCCATTGTCCATATAAAACTATTAATATATCACAATAATCATTTAAATTAATATTAATACAATTTTTGTATTGGCACTATAGTGAGACTCGTAGTGTTTTTTTGAGGCTGATACTGTTTTTTAAAAAAATAGCACCATTTCATAGATAGATAGATAGATAGATAGATAGATAGATAGATATTCGAATAAGTATCCCTTAGATCTACATTGTTTTAATATAGAAGTGTGACCGGGTTATATACTGAGCAGCCGAAATATGAACTTCCTCATCATTCTCTGTAGGCTATAGTGTCTGTATGTGGTTTGCGTTTGTGTTTAAAAGCCCATTACTTGAACCACATACATGGTCTGTAGCTTATTAGTGAGAGCACAGACTACTGGTAAACGGTGTTTGTTAATGGTGGTCTCTTTCTCCCCCTGATAGCATCACTCAAGATGGAGAAGGTTCTGGACAATATTGTGTCCATGGTGAAGCAGCACCCACCTGGGATCCCCCTGAAAAAGCTGGCGGTACTCTATAGCCAGACATACCACAAGAACCTGACTCTATCCTCCCTGGGCTTCGACTCCATGGCTAGCCTGGTAGACTTTCTGGATCGGGATCTGGTTGTGGAGGGGGAACTGGTGTTTCACAAAAGCCACCGTCAAGTGGGGAAGGCTGGAGCTTCAGCATCAACGAAAGCTACAGACAACAGAACAGACACTAGAAAGGTTTTGGGAGATATAGTGTCCATGGTGAAGCAGCACTCCGCTGGGATCCCCCTGAAAAAGCTGGCTGTAACATACGGCCAGACGTACCACCAGAACCTGATTCTATCCACACTGGGCTTCGACTCGATAGTTAGCCTGGTAGCCTATCTGAATAGGGATCTGGTTGTGGAGGGGGAACTGGTGTTTCACAAGGACCATTGCAGTGAAAGTCGGGCTAGAGCTGGAGCTGGAGCTAGGGCATCACCAAGACCTGCAGAAGACGACGAGGGCGTTGAGAATGTTCTGGGAAATATTGTGGCTGTGGTGAAAGAACATCCAGATGGGATTCCTCTGAATAAGTTGGCTATAGTCTACAGCCAGAAATACCGCTACAACCTGACCCTGTCCTCTCTGGGCTTCAAAACTATTTCCTGCCTGGTAGCATCTTTAAAAGGAGATCTAGTTGTGAGAGGGGAAGTGGTGTTCCATAAGATCCACCAGCCTCCAAGTCAGCCTGTAGCAGGGAAGTCAGCAAAAGCCACAGAGGACAGCAGGCCTGCGACACCACAGAGGGCCGAACCACTCATCGCACCCACTGGTGTTACCGCGCCACAGGTGGATGTCAACTCTCACTACGTGCCTCCCACTCAGGCAGGAGTGAACCTTTTAGGTCCTCCTTTGACTTCCACTGCCTCTTTATTCTCCACCCACTGTCTTCCTGTTAGCCCACTTTTGACTGTGTCCAAGCCAGCTGAGAAATTGAGCCAACAGGAGCTGTACCAGAGGGTCATAGAGGTCAGTTATAAAGACACATAGATGTATAGAGCAGTATTTTTTAGGCTGTGTTAACTCTCTATTTGTCTCTCATGTTCATCGGAGTACATTAATAGTTCTACTTTAACGTACTGCTCGTAGTGACCTGGACAGTTAATCTTTTATCCAAACATTATGCTAACCTTACCATGACCTAGAACTCAACATTAACCCATACACCGTGACCAGTAAAACCAGTCACTATGTCCTGCGGAATTAAGCAAATTGCTGACTTCTGACTTTATTTTTTCCTATGGACGTAAATCTTTAAAAACTTATAACAAATAAATGGTTTGGTTTTCAAAAAAGGCTCAGTAATTTCCTAGAACAGCTGGTCACAGTAGTTTTTAGCAAACAATATTCAAACTGGAGGAACTTGTGTGTTTGTTTGGGACTGTTTTCAGTCGTAGATTAATGCACAGATTAAGTGGTATTGAATCAAAGTAACTCACAGGAAAATGAGAAAACAAATCTAAATAACACCAGCCTTATCCTTTAACTAATGTAAATAATTGTGAATGAGGGCCAGTCCTATTTTTCAAGCAATAATAATATTAACAATAATAATAAATGCTTCACCACATGCAATTGAATTGGTCTGTCAGATACCAACAGAGCCATGTAGGCAACTGCCTGGAGCAAGTCAGTGGGAGGAATGTGGTTTAATATATATACATAGCACCTCCCTAGTTAATTTGGCTGTGGAGTTAGTTTAGTTACCCAGAGAGCTTTAAATGAGACACCTTAGAACTGGTTTTGTTGGTTTTGGTTGTGTGTGGTGTTGTGTGTGTGTGTGTTATATCTTTTGAAACAAGAGCTTTAAATGTCTCAATTGAAAACCACTCAGTATTTCAACATTACCATTCCTGCTAGACACAGAGATGACTTCATTTTCAACAAACATGTTGGATTATGCCTCCTAATCTAACTTAAAAACTGAACCTTGACCTGTATCTCTGTACTGTATGTTAACTGCATGGTCAGTAAAAGTTTATTGATGTGTTCCAGGTGATAAAGAAGTACCAGCTAACTGCTCCATCAATGGACCAGCTCCAAACCTTCTACATTCAGCACTTTGGTGAACAGTTTCCTCTTGCACAGTACATGTCTCTGTATGACAGCTTGGGAGCATCAAGCATCAAGACGCAGCCCACTCAGTCTGAACCAACAGCAGAGTCCGAGACAATTGCAGGTAGCCAAATATGTCAACCATCAGCTTTATACGTAAACAAATATATATTATCACTTATCCATACTCATGTGTTGCCATATCCTTTCACAGCAGCACAGGATCTGAAGAGAGAACCTGAAAAAGAGCAGCAACAACAGGCCACTGTGCCCAACTTCCTCTCTGGCGCCGACTTTCCAGTGCTGGGGGCAGCCGTGAGCTCAACCAAAGAGCAGAAGAGCAAAGTTAAAGGCGCAGTCCAGAGAGAGGGCAGTGCCCCCGTGTTTATTGAAGCTTACCGTGCCCAGCTGAGAGAGGTCCATGGAGCTAATATGCGGGCAGTAGAGGCTATAGAGGAGGATGAGGAGGAGCTCACAGGGAGGAGGAGGAGAAGAGTCCTGGATCAGGATACGGTCAACAGTCTGATGGAAGATGTGATACGAGAAATGGCTGCAGAGGGAGAGCTGGTCACCAAAGAGAAGGTAAGGAGGGAAGCGGACGCATTTTGAATTGTAAAGGAATGGTTCAACATTTTTGAAAAATAATTTGTTCCCTTTCTTAATGATTGGATCAGTTATTGTAGTTTTGTATTAAATTTTTTTTTCTTTTTTTCCCAGAGTAGATTTGCTTGTTTCAGTTAAGTTTTTATAGTTAAAAATGCTTTAGTTCAGTTTTTATTAGTTTCATCCATACTCGTGTGCATAAAAACGTTGCTGTAAAGTGCTAAAAGTGATTAAAAAACTAACTCTGGGTTTGAATATAGTTGGAAACTTTTAGGATAATGAAAGTACACAACAAAATTTATAACGCAGTGTTTTTAGACATTTAAATGAGGAAATTTTACATAAAATGTTTTTATGTCCAAGTGAACTCCTTTACAATAAAGTCGTCCTGAAACTCTACAATCCCCTTCAGCACCAACAGTCAAGTGTCATAAAGGCTATTCACTCTGCTGGAGGCATAGATATAAATGTACTGATCCACAGTAACCTCAGTAGGCCATGATGCAGTGTAGCAACAGGACATGTTAAACTTTCACTAAGTGAAAAGTTTAACATGCTCGATATGAGAAATGTTGGAAATCAAAGTACACAGTATTACAAAGTACTGGTGGAATTTCCCAAGCGTGTTATATTTGTGATTCTGTCCAAGTAACTACTGTACTCTATTTCATTCCCCATTGTTCTTTCAATGTCTTCTGCCACTCTGTGCAGGTGATATCCAGGGTGTGCAGGCTGATGCAGATTTCCTCTTTGGATGCAGCAAAGATAAATCCCCGGATAATTCCAGCTCTCAAAGACCTTCAGTACACCATGAGAGAGATCAACATGTTCATAGAGGTTGGCAAATATGCATTTGCTAATACATGTTTTAATCTGATTGTTTAGTTGATATTAAAGTCTGTTTTTTCTCTTTCTCTCAGTCTACTGAGGCAGTGACATCCATCTGTACCCTGTATGAGCTGGGTCAGTCGCTGGCCGGCCTGAAAGACAAGAAGCACTATGAAGAGCTGCACCTGGGGCCCCTCTGCAAACTTCCCCTTGTCCACCGCATGTTCAAGATTGACAGTAACACAAAGGATGACGATATCCACCAGATCGAGACAACAGACATCTTAAAGGTACAACTCACAAGGCAAATGATATAGGGATTTAGATATTGCTGCTAAACAGTATTATAAACATGTTATATATTAGATGTTTTTGTAATTTTTTTTTAAAAAGGTTTGTTTTGATTGAACTTCCTGTGTTGGGATATTTGGTTCTTGGTTCACTGATATGGTTGCAGATGATGATGATGAACATTAATGTTTTTAAACAGTTCATTAAAGCCACTGGAAACTAGATGTTGAACCATATTTTCTCCTTACTGATATGCCTGTAATGTAAAATGCAAAGTATCTGAAGTTACACAAAACATCAACTAACACACACAGTCCTGGTGGATAGTAGGGGTGTTTCTTAGATGCAAATTAAATAAGGAAGGCCATGCAAAGTAATGCAAATTTTCTCAAGGCACCACACAATAATTGAATGAAGCCAAGGTTGCTGTGGCAACATGTGAATCTTTATGTGAAGCTTTAAGATAACAGAGGAATCTCACAGCCACATAGTCATGAGACAGTTGAGAAATGTTAAAAGTAATTTAAGTTACAGAACAACAGGGAAGCATTTGACAGTTCCTGTAGATGTTTCTAGTACCTCGCGACAACACCATCCGCAGCATTTACCTATTTACCCACCAAGTCATGATTGAGGTCCCTGTAGATTTAGGCATTTGGGTTCTGTATAATGTTTTCACCTGAATGTGTTCACTCTGTTTCCATTGTTTAGCAACTTCGTATTTTTCGGAGGAAGCAGAGCAAGCCGAAAGTAGACCTGGCTGACTTTATGAAGTATCTGGCTGACCACTACAACTGTGAATCTCCCTACGAGCTGGGTGTCAGGATACAAGGCATTGGGCTGCCCATAGCGGTAAGAGACGTACTGCAACATCCCAAGGTTGTTTACTGATATTTTTTATTCTCCATTTATTTTTATTTTCACTATTTCTGATGGAGTAAATCCGCACAGCTGCAGTCTTATTCACTTAGGTACAAAATTCAAAACACAGCCAGGCATACAGAAAAGTTTTTTTTAGGTCACTAGGTCAAAAAATGGCTGGTTTGAATCTGTCTGTCTTCATAACTGGTCAGTGATGCAAAGATTATACTTACATCCTGTATCAGTCTCTACATGTTAACGTGTTACCTATTCGGAACTCTGTCCTCTTTTGATCCAACTTATGATGCTTTATGGGCGTATGATGCTTTATGAGCGTAACGGACAACAAGATTTATATACCGCTTTGTTTTGCAATTGTAAATCCATAGTTTCAACTTAGTACTGGCTGGACTTGTCTGGCAGTTTGAGTTTTATGAAATGAAGAAAATACTGATGATTTTGCTACACATAGAGCCTTAACAGTAGTTAGACTGCAAATGGAAACTTATCCTGAGGGTGGCAGTAGAAGAAATGTATTGGATCTTTCGAATCAGAAATGAATGTGTTCACATTTGGTTTTTATATGTGTGGTTTCTATATATTTGTATAAATACATGTTACTATTCAGTAACAGGAATGTTTAAATTATTTTTTTGTTCCTTTTTGAGAAAAAAACTACTTTTAGGCTTTCCACCATGAGGTTTTGTTAACAATCTCTTCCCAACAAACAATAATAATAATACCTTGATGTGTAAGATAGTATATATTTACTATTCTAGGATGGTGTCAGGCTAACATGCTAAATCAAAAGCTACACACGCAAAACATAGGACACAAAGTATGAGACACATGGACAGTCATATCACATTCATCTTAGACATAACGCATGTATCTCTCATCCCCATCCCTTACCATTGGGAATGCTTAAATTCTTGTGTTTACAATGTAGTTTAGATTAGGATATGTTTGAAAGTAAGCTTGGTTCTTTATGAAAGTGTTTACAGATGATTTTGAAGACTTATGAAAACTGGCACACTTCAGTTTGTTGTTGGATGTAATCTGGTAGAAATGAATGTTGAACATACCAGTAACTATTAACCACAGTGTTACAGTATTTCCATTGCAGTGGACCGATGAGAGAAGTGTTGAAACCTCAGCAAATCGCAGTAACCTATCTGGTGGACATATGGTGGTGTAGTTGAGATAAAAATGACTTTTATAATTCTCAGCTTGTTTAACACTCCTCCTCAGACCTTGATCAAGGTGAGTCGTTCCGAGCACACCATCTTGGAGCAAGCCAGGGAGACCATCCAGAGAGAGCTGGAAGAGGAGATCCATGAGCGGCTGAGGAAGATAAAGAAGAGCGTGTTGGAGCCAGTGCAAGGAGCAGGTTCCTTCTCCTCCACAGCCAGCTATGACCTCAGGAAAAAGTATGCTTCCATGCCAGCAGCCGAGGTTGTGCTGGCAGTCTTCTCAAACGCAGAGGGGGTGTTCAGTCCCAGGATGGCTAAGGTGGGTGCTAAACAAAGACAGTATTCTATTAATGGATCCGATGCTTTCTCAGATGCATCAGAAGAGCTTGCACAGTGGCAGCGTGGGAATATTGGGTCCACTTTTCTTAGGAGCTCACGCTGGTCTTGTGCCACTTTGAACAGCTGGGTGATAGTTCCACTAAGTCTCCCTCTATGAGCCATGGGAGGGATAACAAGGAGCTACAGAGCTGCTCTCCAGTTCTGAACTCATTAACAAAATGTCACCCTTCATAATCTCCTAATCCTTAATGAAGGCGTAAGAAAAAGTTACTTTTTAGCTGATGAATTCCTGCTTAACTCATCTTGACAGCCGCCTACTTATACATGTTCTGGGATTATCTTTATCCTGGTGAATTTATTCTTCTTATCTGCAGGCTGTGACATAGCAGGCATTTTTTCATCATCATTAAAATTATATTCATTATAAAACATCCAGGTCAACATGATATCACAAACACCTCCATTCACTTATCCCCCCATCTGTTTTCCAACTTCAACATATCCTGAGATGGGAAGTTGGAAGCACATTATATGCTGTAGCACAGTGATTCCCAAGGGTTTTCCTTCAGGGACCTCTTCTCTATCACTGAGTAAACTGAGTGTTTTATGGATATTTGACATTATTTTCAGTGCGTTACCATAACAGTTGAGAACAACTGATAAACTGTACAATGAACCGGGAACACAATAACTGCAGGACGTTTGTGTAAAACAAGCAATTTGGATGAATTTTGAGCAGATTATTTCCTGTGAATACTGCATCAGAGTTGGGTTTTTATGCAGTTCTCTGTCTGTATTATGTTTATTTATTTATTTTTGATACATTTACTGTTTTCTTCTCATTGTTCTATTCGCCCCTTAGTTGTTTGACCTGCGTACTTTTCTAAAGCAGGATGAGGCTGTTGGGCAGAAAGTGAAGGCTCTGTGAATACAGCTTGTGTTCAGGTCTTCTCTGTGCCCTTATCCTGAGAGTTTACAATTCAATTATAATTGAAACTTTGAAAATAACAATTTAATTTTGTTTTCTTCACAGAAATGAATGAAATGCTGAGTAATAAGCCTACTGTGTGTTGAAAAAAAGTTTTTATTAAAATATAAAATTATAAAATCAAGAAGGCCCTATGACCCTCTGTGGGGCCCCCTAGTGGGGGTCTGGACGCCCAGGGTGGGAACCAGTGCTGTAGTGTTAAGATTTCCCCTTGAAACTAACCATAGAAACCAGCCCCAGATCAAAAGTACAAACGGATATGGGACGGGGAATAAACATTTGTGTATAGGTTATTATCATAAAGTTAATGAAGAAAAAAAAGCAAAGTCCACCTGGGTTGCGGAAATATCTCTGATACATACTTGTTTAATTTCCAATCTAGCAAGTCCAGAGCTTCCTGCTGCAGGTGTCAGATAACCGGCTGGCAAAGGCTCTGTTTCAGCTGGCCATCTGTGGAGGCTCCATGGCTGTCCCACAAGACCTTGTGCCCAAAGACAAGGCATCCAAATCCACTGAGCAAACCAAAGCGGAGGACAAACCCACCACATCCCTCCCCAGTGAAGGTATTCATGCAGGATAAACATGGAGTGTTTTCTGCCACACATATTAGCTAGTCTGATAATGTCTACTCATGATGCATCTGGTCCGTGACAGTTGACATTTCTGCTCCGTGTCTCTCAGCCAAAGTGAAGCAGTACCTTAAAGACAGCCTGTCCTCGCAGAACTCAACCTTCACTTTGGCCCACATGGCCTCTTTGGAGAGGAAGTTAATCAAACACTTCCAGGTGAAGGATTTCCTCTCTTTAGAGCAAGGCAATTTTCTGGAGTTCCTGGTAAAACACAGTCAGGTACATTTCTTTTTTGTTTTTTTAATCTTTTTTATTTAACTCTCTCAGTCTGTATGAGTGTGTATTATAAATCTAAGGTGTCTTGCAGCGATTGAAAAGATCCCTGAAGATGTGTACTATTTTCACCCTGTCTGTCTCTGGTTGTGTGCAGCTGCTGCAGGACACTCTGGGGTCTACTGTGATTCTGGGCAGTGGCACCATGGAACTTGCAGGCAGTGGTTTCAGACCCACAAGACAAGACGTGTTTGATTTCATCAACCAGTGTGGTGACATAACCTTAACTGATCCAGATGAAGTGAGTCATTTAAAGACAGTCCACTTTTAAATGTTAAGACAGAGCTCTTCCTCTCTCAGGGTTTTCTTTCTCTGTGTCTGTGTTCTGAAATTTGACCAAAACATTAACATCCACCTTCCTTTGTCGCAGCTGTCCCACATTGAGTCAGCACTGAGGTCCCATTACAAGGTGCGGGACTGTCGTGAACTAGGCTACGGTACTCTGCAGCTGCTGGCTGGCCTGGTCCAGCGCCAGAGAGGGCTGGCTGGAGGAGGACTGAGCCCGGTCTACTACGAGTCAGCCCTGTTCGCCAAACACTGCAAATCAAGGTTAGCAGGGCGTTGTCAGGTTTTTCTGTCACAAATTGTAGGCCCAAGCTAAGATAGGTTATTTTTTTCAAACTTTGGAAAGCGAACTGTTTTCACGTACTGTGCGGTACTTCAAATGATGAATAAACGTGACTTCATGTGTGAGATCAGTGTTGCGTCTTCCAGAAATATAATGTGAATGTGATGTAAGTTTCCTCCTCATCTATGTCCTCTTGTCTCCCACATCCTTCCCATGAACAGTGCTCAAGGTGGGGGTGGGGCAGTGGGCTGCTTAGGTGAGATGTCCAAGGCCCAGGCTCTGGCCAGCTTGCTCTCCTGCCCTCTACTGGAGGATTTGAGTGAGTGGAGCCAATGGGAGCTGATCTTTAAACCCCTACACGGTTCCCTCAAAGAGTTCATCGAAAGAAACGCAGGTAGGAGTCAATCACTGTATTTTAATTCTACTTTTGACTTACTCTCAAACGGGATCATTTGATGAATGCAAATGGATGTAAATGAAAATTAGAATGTCTTTGTGGGTAAATAGTGGTTGTTTGAGCAAGAAATGGTAGAGTAGAGCTGTGGGATTTGTACTTTAATATTTCCAAATAATAATATATATAAATATAAACAAAAATGGGAATTACAAACTCTTTTTATTTACTTACAACACAGCTAATACTGGGCTGGCAGCGTTGGAGTTGACACCGGGTTTCCTGCTCAGGATCACCACGCACACAGGAGACAAGCACTTCTCCAGTGCTGCTGGGAACCTCGACCCCGTCGGCACAGCCGGCCACCTCGTGTCCATGGTGGTAGCCGATGGGATCGTCAACGCTCCCACGGCCCTCCTGGCCAATCACATGCACAGCTCCCTGGAAGCAGCTATGGCTAGTGAAGGTAGTGAGGCTTCAGGGCTGGGGCTGACACGCATTCACAACCGGAATAATGCACTGAATTTCAAATGCTGCACGATTGCCTCATCGTTACTAAAATAAGGTTTGTGTTCCTTAGATTTGTCCCAGGCTGAAGACGATGTGTCATGTTACAGCAGAGTGGCCAAATTCCTCTTGGCGTGTTTGACACGAATCCCCACCAGAACCTGCCAGGCTCTTTTTCAGCCGGTCAGTCGCACTGCGTCACCCATGTAGATTACACGTTCAAATCCTGTACCTTCTGTTGTTTCTGGAGAGGAGTTTTGTTGAAGCTGTGTTTGGATTTTAGAGTAAAGATGGTGAGATCAAACAGTCCAAGGAGATGTTCTTAAATTCATCCCATGGCTTTTTAAAGGGACAGTTCACCACAAAATCAGCTATAGTTGGTGTTAGATTGGTACAAAGAAAATAGTTCCTTCATTAAACTGCTCACATCAAGGTCTCCAAAACTCTCAACCAAAACAACCTAGATGGATAAATAGCACTACAGGTAAGAAGAAAGGTGTTATTGTTGAACAGTCCTTTTAAGAAGGCTCAACAGGAAATAGAAATCCAAGCTCTGATATCCCAGAACCACCCTCGTCTACTTGAAAATCTAATCAGTGCATTTCATAATCTGTGCATTTAGGCTTAACACAGACCAGTAGGTGTATAGCATCATGAGCTGTCATGCTCAGCAATTCAAAAAACAAACACTAAGTATGGAGAGTGTAGATACCGATGGGCTTTTTTCTTTTGAGTTGTTGATACTCAGTATATAATGAGGAATCATTGCAAACAGGTGGAACACAGCTTTTAACAAACACACACAAAAACTGTAACATTTCAGTGTGTCCTTGACCAAAAGAGTGGGCAGCTGTAGCCTGTGAATTTAATCTGCTCACCTAAATTGCTGAGGAGGTGGTTGTTATCAGTCTTACAGTTGTCATGCCAACCACCGACTTTTCCAGTAAGCCAGAAGATAAATACATCAGCTTCCCGGCTTGTTGGTCATTTTAGATTTGTTGTACAACTCTCTTCTTAACATTAGAAAACACAGGATTTCACTGCTTTCCACTTGCTTGTGTTTGCAGCTATTTCTATATATAACAGAATGTCAGAAGGCATGATTATCCAATGAAGTGCATTTCTGTTGTTACTCTAAATAAGAAATGGTGTGTGTGTTCTTATGTGAATGTGACTTTCAGGTGTTTTTGGAGCCTTTCTCCCGTGTCTTGGGCCAGGCCAAGTCGAAAGAGGTCCTGATCACTGTGGCCCAGTCTGACCCGAGGCACATGAACTGTCTGCATCGGTTGGGCATCCTCCTGGGAATCACAGACTGGGTCAAAGACTACCAGAAAAAGCTGAACCCACCACAGAGCCAAAACTGCATCATGCACACAGCTCCTGTGGAACAAGCCAAGGTCAGAATACAAGTCAGAAAAAAATAGAAAAACAGTACTAGGATCAGACTGGATGAGTCATATTTGAAACAGACAAATATCAACACCAGTGCTTTAAAGGTTATATATTCGAAATTCACTTTCCACTGGATGTTGCTCTAAAGCAGCAGCATCTCAGACAAAAAGAAAGTGGAAATGGGACAGAAATAATATAAAATGTATCCCTAATTCACTAAGTTAGATGTGAAAATATTAATGAAAAGGGTTGCTATGGCTGCAGTGTAAACTAACGTTAATCCTTGGGGACAAATGCAGCCATCACAGTACGTCCACCATAAGTGCTTGTGTATGCCACTATCAAGCTCATATTGTTATTGATTATTAAGTGTCATTATTAAAAGGATCCTTACAGAGATAGACCTTTTGTTTAACCAGATTGCTCGCAGCCAGACTCCATATACACAAATTATATATGGTGGTATATCATTGTTACTTCATTTTTTAACAAAATAATACTCACCGAAACTGTCTTTGTTAGCCTTTGCACTGTTCGAACAATCACCAACTCGATTTGATCGATATGAATCCTTAATTCACCGAGGTAAACCACAGAAAGGCTGCAATAGCACTACAGGCAAAGGGAGTGTGATGTCATTCTCTGCTCAAGAAACCACGACTCCGCTATATCTTTGTATAGCAAGTAGTTTGCTGCTATGTTAATGTTTTAAATATCCTGTATATAACCTGTAAATGTATGGACTGGTACATATATCTCATCACTGTTGACTACATCTTGGTGGAAAAATCTGATCCTCAGGAAGTGATTTTTGTTTTACATTTTCAGCAGCATCATCAGTGAAATAGACAGAGAAAAAATAAGTATAACTGCCAAAACACTGCTGCCTTAACTATACAGCATTTACAAACACCAAAAGCCATTAAGGTGTATTGATTCCCAGGGTTACAGCACTGCAAAACTTACTTTTAAAGCACTTTTACAACTAATAAGAACAAATAATTAAAGTTTGAATTAAGGTTAGTGTGTGATCATGAAACGCTTGACAGGTCAAAATGAAACTTTGCTGTTGTCAACCTACCTAAATTTAAATGGATTAAGGGATGTGAATAGATTGAGATTTGAGTAGAGCGCTTTCAAACCTTGATTACTATGGTTCACAGGAATTAGTGGTCTATTTGCTGTTTGAAAAAGGAAGCATTTATTAGTTAAATCAGCTTGCCCCTGCATCTTGTGAATATCTATCTTCTTGCATCTTAAAAAAGAGATGCATGAATATTGTTTTTGTTTGTTTGTTTGTTTTCAATGTTTTGCCTGTGTCCCTAAAAAATAAATGTGCCCTGATAAAGCATACAGTATGGGTAGCCATGTTATATAGCTGTAAATTCACTATCTTCTCTGTTCTCGTCCTGGCAAACGTGGCTTCTAATTTTCTTTACTTTTTTTCCCTCGACCTCAGTCTAATTTGATAGACTCTGAGAGCAGCAGTCTGTCAGCTCTAAATATGAGTGAAGATGAGTATCTTGAGGATAACGTCATGGACAACAGCTTTGCCTCCTTCCATCTCAACCAGAGCTTACAGCAAGGTGATTAAAAACTACTCCACCACAGGAATGTGAATTTTCATTTCATAAAGTCGTACTGGTGAATGAAGGACCAGCTTCCCTGTCTTAGTTTTTAATTGTTGAATGTTTTCTTCCAGTCAATGGTGAGGAAGACGTAGTGGTCGAGGAGGGAGAGGATGAGGAAGAGCTGTATGAGTTTGCCCCACTACCTAACGGAGAGACGTCAGACATCAGCAGTGAAGCTGAAGCAGGCCAGGGCGATGAACAGTCCGAACTGTCTGACTCTAATGAAAATGATGCTGCCAGCTGCCAACCAGAGACCACATTAAATCGCCAGAGAGCCATAATTGAGGACATCAGGTTTGTTCTCATAATGTCACCCTTTAAAATCACCTACACTAAATCCAAAGCTGAGTCATACTTTCTGCTTCTGTCTCTTTTTTTCCTGACAGGAAGAGTGAGTTTGGTATTGGTGTGGAATTGAACGCTGAAGGCCAGAAGCTGATGCAGGTCCACCAGGACAGGCTGGGTCGCAGCTTGGACCGCCTGTCTACCGAACTCTACAGCAAGGACACACACTTTGTCCTGGAACTCATTCAGGTTGCTTCTATAGTATTTACACCCCTAAATATGAAGCTAAATCTGGATTTTTCTTTCAGTTACTGCTTTTCTTTTTTGTTCTTTTATTCAAAGTGTGGAAATAATGCTAACAAAGATTTGTCTATCAAGCATGTATGAAGCTAAGAAATTATTAACTATGAATGATACTAAAATCTTTCAGAATGCTGATGACAACAGTTACCCATCGGAGGCTGGTGTCATCCCAGCGCTTGCGTTTGTGGTGGAGAGGGACTGCATCACCGTTCTCAACAACGAGACTGGCTTCCAGGAGAGGAACATCAGGGCCATCTGTGATGTGGGTCGCAGCACCAAGGGCAAACACAAATATGGATACATAGGTAAGTACGTATATGATGGCCTTGAAGGAGATCAGAAAGGTCGAGGCTCGTGGTTAGAAGTCACCAGAGGATACCCTAAATGTGTGATGATCCCTATTGCTCCACTCAACACAGGACAAAAGGGAATCGGCTTCAAGTCGGTGTTCAAAGTCACAGACTGTCCCGAGATTCACTCCAACGACTTCCACTTGCGCTTCGACAAGACATGCGGCCCCATGGGATACATCTTGCCCCACTGGACTGAAGATGAGAGGCTTCTGGACACACAGATGAAGGACTTAAATCAGCACAGGTTGGATGATTAAGAAATAGTAGGCCTTTTTCATAGCAGATAGTTTGACTTCTTATAGTAGGTAACACACTGGTGTTAACAGTAACAAAGGCTCTGCTGTTTTCAAGTGTCCCAGTAAGCCATGACACTGTGTCAGTGAGCCAGCATGCTCAATACCAGGATCCTGAAACTGAAGCAGCTAAATGGAATTGAGCCATCATCCTTTTTATAAGTAGTTAACATTACTTGTATAAAGTTGCATTTTTCAGTCTTGTTTTTAAATTTGGAAAATGAATTAATGGAAATATTGAAACCTGCAGCAAGCCTGTATAAAATAATTATTAGTGCAGCTTTAAAATGATTTTGTTCCCTCATCAGCTGGACCACTAAGATCTGCCTTCCTCTGCGCTCCGAGAGCCATCAGACCAGGAACCTGTTTCATGACGTGCACCCCTCCCTGCTGCTCTTTCTGCACCGTCTGCGCTCCATCACCATCTACAATCAGGTAGCTCTTGCACTCGCACATTTGTTCACATTCACATGTAGTTGATGTCATTTTTTTATGTCAAGTAACTAATAATTCACCAATTTTCTGTTATTCCACTTCTGTACTTCTCCAGATTGAGAAGCGTTTCGTGACAATGACTCGTAAAGACCTGAGTCACAATGTGTTAGAGGTGGAGCACACAAAGGGCACTGAGCGCTGGCTAGTGGTCAAAACTACAGTGCAGCCCAAGAAGGTAACGCACAGGCACTCAACATTCAGATCTCATTGTGTTGCTTCATTTCAAGGCGTTGTATGTGTCATATCGAGATTTCAGCACAAGAACTTGATTTTGTTTGCATCCTTCCTGGGGAATAAATAAAATTCACTGTAGCTTTGCATTTCTCTTGTGTTTACACCCTATAACTATTCAACCGTAAAAATCTTTTCCCTCTTGCTGTCTTACCCGATTTTATGAAAACTCACTCATTAGGCAGTCTTTTGGTTCCCACATCAAGCAGGAATATGTGACAAAAAGAATCCAGACACACATTCCAACCAGATTTTAATGATCTGTCAGTCTGAAACGACGCTATCATCCCTGCTACTCTTTCTTCTTCAGTCACCTTCCTTCTATCATTTCCCAGAGGCAGATACCTGCAGTTAGGTTATGTAAGAGAGGAAAGGAAGCTGAGTGAGAGGAAATATGTTGAGACATTTTGTGCTCCAGTTTCCCGGCAGCCCTGTAACAGGCACCAAGATCTATTTCTGTAAGATGTCAGTTTGTTTGTGAGCTGTTGCATCTGTTTTGACATTGATCTGTTTCTTCTCCTTCAGATCAAAGAGGATGTTGAGTCCACCGAGCTCGCTCTGGCTTTCCAGCTAAACGGCAACATCACAGAAAGTGACATTGTGTGCCAGCCAGAGAAACAACCTGTGTTTGCTTACCTGCCCCTTCGAAGCTTCGGCTTCCGTTTCATCATCCAAGGTGAGAATGGAGTTTAAAACGATATCATATGTGACATGAATTCATTGACATACAGTTCGTTCCTCTCACTCCACACTCTTTTCCAGGCGACTTTGACATCCCTTCCTCTCGGGAAGATGTTGACAGGGACAGCTCGTGGAACCAGTGGCTTCGATCTGAGATACCTCAGCTCTTCCTCCAGGCCATGGATGTCTTCACTGTAAGATGATACTGTATCCGTGGTGGGGAAAATTACACTAATACAAATGAGATGTCACTTTTATAATCCTTCCAAGGAAAGCTGATCATTGACAAATGCAAGTAGAATACAGCAAGCTGGAGAGAAGCAAACAGGTGCTTAGAATTGAGTAGGACAAAGCCAGAGGACAAATAAAGTATATTCATGAAAGCATAATAGAAATTCAAAGCGCTGAAAAGATTATGCCCTTTATTTATTAAATGGTAAACTTTTCTTTGTTAGATTAAATATTCAAGACAAAATAAGCAACCATCAAAGAAAAAAATGTGTTAGATATTATTATGTATTATTATATTTTAACACTAAAAAATGTATTTGCTTCATCAGGACTGGGCTTTTTTGCCTTTATTGATAGGACAGCTCAAGGTAGACAAGAAAGGGGGAGAGAGAGAGAGAGAGAGAGAGAGAGAGAGGGACATGACGCACAGCGAAAGGCCACAGGTTGGATTCGAACCCATGGCCACTGCAGCAAGGACTCAGCCTTGGTACATAGGGAGCCAAGACTAACAGATGAGCTACCAGGGCGCCCCAGGAATGGTTGTGGTTTAATCAGATTTGATTGACTCATTTTGTCTTGTTTTGTCCCCAAAAACCTCAGTTATTTGGTTTATTATTAGATATGACATCAGAGAAGCAGCAAAATCCTGCCATTTGAGAAACTGGAACTGAAGAATGTGGAGCATTCTTTCACTATTTTTACTTGGAAAATGACAAACAATTATTAATCTATTAACATAGTTGCAAATTATTTATCACTCCAGTTCTACCTGCAGCTGGAATAAAGACTTTGTACACTATTTGAGAATTATTGGTATATAATATATGTCTAAAACATAATAGGGTATAAACAACTAATAGCACTCACTAGTCCATGGCTATTGTCTTCTTTCTTCCAGGATCACCCAGAGTTCAAGGGGCTGAAGGGCCTCTGCCAGTTCCTGCAGTTTATCCCCCTTCCTGACGAGGTGTTGGACTTCTTCAAGCCTGTTGCCGGGCAGATTATTCAGCTGCTCAAGGGCAAAGCCTTCCTGCCGACGCTCAGCTCAGGTATTACTCACACACGCAAGCCTGTGTACTTTTTAAATCACACCAAAAAAAAGCATAAACAAAACAAAAATATTCCCAGTATGCTAATGCTTCGAGCTCAGCTTTACTCATCATACTAGAAATTGAAATCATTATATTGAACCCCGTAAATCCATGCTCTCTCTCCCAGATGGTAAGGTTGTGTACAAGCTGCCGTCCCAAGTGGCCGTCTGTCAGGACCCTGTGATCCGCGACGTGATTGGCGGAGACGAGCTTGAAAGGCACCTGTCTCTGTCCTATCTCCATCCGGAGTTGAGCATTGCTCTACCCACCTCCCTCCTCACTCACCTGGGAGTCCGAAACCTGCGGGGATCTGATGTTTCTACGGTAACCACAGCCATGGCCAAGGACCTGATGAAAGTGGAAGGCATCAATTCAGGTGCGTGGAAGAAAGAAAGAGGGAGAAACCTATTACAAAGTCAGTCCATGCCTTTTCAAATGATGGCAAAGTGCAATGAATTATAACTGCTGACAGTATGCAACATGTACAATTTGCCATTTATCATTATTACATGTAAACTGATACCACAAGAGACTATGAGTACCAGTGATTTGACAGCAGCTCAGATAGCATATCAGCAGTGTTCACTGCAAACAGCTTGTATGTAGTAAAAGGTTTAAAATACTGGATTAAAAGCCTTTCAATTCATGTTTAATGATGCTATTTGAGTGTCTATAGACATTTCATACATACACTTACACACTGATATGCACTAATAGATGCACACCCATTTCTGTTCTAAGTTTTCGACACCAACCCTCTGTCTTCTAGATGGCGGCCTGCGTCAGCTGGCCAAGCTGCTGGTCTGCAACTTCCGTGCTCTTGAGCATGGTTACGGGGAGGCTGACTCCATCTTGCAAACCCTCAGGGAACTACCCATAATTCCCCTGGCTGACGGACGCATGGTGGCACTAAGCGGGGAGGGAGTGTTCTTTCCAATGGAGGAAACCAGGACCAAAAAAAAGAAAGCTCAAGTTCAGACAGGTAATTTCACTTCAGCGTATAATAAACTATAATTATTCCTTCAACTTTTAAATGCCAGAATATATTAATATAGTCAGTAGTAAGTCATGGTAGCACTAACATCATAGACATCATAAATATCAGATGCTTTCATTAATATTGCATGCGCCCCTCTCTATTATCAGTATTATTTTGGATGTGTTTGGTGATTAAATTGGTGTGTCTTAATCTGAGAAGGGCAAATATTTATAGATATTTTCTGTTTTTCAGCATTGTATGAAGATGTTGTATGATTTTAAATAGGCATAGTGCTAAATCAAAAACTGCACACTGTTCAATTCAATTTTATTTATATAGCGCCAATTCATAACAGAAGTTATCTCAGGACACTTTTCAAATAGAGCAGGTCTAGACCGAACTCCTTATAACATTATTTACAGAGACCCAACAGTACCACCATGAGCAAGCACTTGGCGACGGGGGCAAGGAAAAACTGCCTGTTAAAAGGCAGAAACCTAGGAACAGATCCTTTGGCTCTAGGTGGGTGGTTATCTGTCTCGACCAGTTGGGGTGAGAGAGAGAGACAGACAGAGACAGAGAGAGAGACAAACAGACAGACAGGTGCACAGCAACAACAGTATTGGCAATGGCAGTCAAGCAGGACCATGGCAGGAGGCTCCACCAGGATCGATAAGAACCTGCGAGACGAGAAAGCGCAAGAACTCCGGTGAAGAAGTGAAGTTAGTAACATGCATTAATGGAACATGAATGAGTGCAGAAAGAGAGAGGAAGGGAGGAGCTCAGTGCACCATGGGAAATCCCCAGATAGTCTAGGCCTATAGCAGCATAACTAAGGGATGGTTCAGGACTCACCTGATCCAGCCCTAACTATAAGCTTTATCAAAGAGGAATGTCTTAAGCCTACACTGTTGTCTTGTTCCCGGTTCTTCTTTTATTGTGCATGACAATTTTTCAACCACATGTTCTGCCTCATATGAAGGTGAGGGTGTGAGTAACACATATACAATTTGTGTGTGTGTGTGTGTGTGTGTGTGTGTGTGTGTGTGTGACAGATTTAAAATAAAATTACTACAGTATGTATAACAACTTAGGTTTTAATTTAACAGCTTGGGACATTGGTTCTCTCACCAAATAAAGATCTCATGACACTGCATCATCACTAAAAATAGGTCCAATATAGAGAATACAGGGGCATCTAGGATTAGAGACAGCAGCGTGTGTGTATTTTTGTCTTTTTGTGCAGATAATTATTAGCCTGCACCTGCAAAGAACTTATGGTTATGCATGTGCCTCATGATTGCACAGTGCTAAATCACCCACAACAAAACACAGATAGAAGAAGAAGATCAGAAAATAGGGCAGTGCAGTTTCACAGGTTTCCAGTTTCCAAAAGTGTGATAAACTGATGTAGAAAAACAAAAATAGATAAATATGTATCACCTTGGCGATGGTGAGAGGTGCACACTTTCCATCTGTGCTCATTAGGCTCAGCAGTGAAACACTTGCAGAGACTGAAAATTATTGTGTGAATTCCTGAGATTAATAAAAATAGCACATTGAATTATTGGTACATTTGGACCAAGATGCTTAAATAGGCTGACTGAGCCTGTAAAATAGACAACAACTTTCAGATGTTACAGAGACAGAGCCTGCGTTGTTTGTCGCAGACATCTGAACCCCGTGAAAGGACCTGCGTCTACAGCTGTGTCTGCTCCCTCGGAAGTCAGCACATTCACAGACATGGAGGGCAGCAGAGTAGGTGTATGACGAGCTTCACCCCTGTCTAAGAATAAGCAGACATACAGCCACTCGCATTGGAACATGCACACACACAAAAGCGGAGGCACACCACCCGTGTTGTGCGTCATCACATTCAAAAACAGTACCCAAAGCAGAGGTTTAGAATGGCAAGCATGAATAATTGATTTTCACACTCTGATGTAAGCATCCTGCAGCTGCAGTTTGCTGGCTTTAATAATCATGTAGTCTAAGTGCTTTGGTGTCTTTATATGCAACTCAGAGTGTTTTACCTCCACACTCTTTATCATCTCGCTTCAATGCGTCATATAAGAGGCACTTGTGTGTTTCAGTAAAAAATATATCGGGTCAGGTAACTGATCAGATCAGCCAAATACACCACTATGTTACTATAATTGAAAGTCCAGTGTGTAACATTAAGGAGGGTCTATTGGCAGAAATGGAAAATAATATTCAAAGGTATGTTTTCATTAGTGTATAATTACCTTAATTTATGAATCAATGTGTTTTCGTTACCCTAGAATGAGCTGTTTTTATCTACAGACACTGCAGGGTCACCTTCCATGTAGTCCACCATGTTTCTACAGTAGCCCAGAATGGACAAACCAAACACTGACTCAAAATAGGTTTCACAGCCACTGTAGTTTTTCCTCCACACTTTACAGCCCGTTTTCATTCCCAGGTCGTCAAATACATGCGCGAGCAGTGTTCAGTTAGTTGCAACTAGATGCCACTAAATCTTACACACTCGTCCTTTTATTTACCACAAAAGGTCAGTGGTAAACTAGTGATCAGTGTTATCTATCAAAACGTGTCTATCAGAGAATCATTCTTATTTTCTTTTTACATATATGCATGTGCAAAAAAGTACTGCTGTGACAGAAGTGCAGTGGAATGAAAGGACAGATCATTATAGTAGTAGTAAAAAGATCGGTCAAAAGTGAGACTAAAACTGAAACTAAAAACACAAAGTAGCCTCTAAAAAAATCAGGAAGCAACATCCTCTGTAACTTAAAATAAATAATACTTCCAAAATAAGGGGCCTGGGATTGACATGCACATATAAATGAATGAATTGTCAGCTAATTTTACGGATAAAGTTAAGCCTACTGGCCATGGGGGGTCCTACTCTGCCTGTGAAAATGAATGTGACTATGGTCATCTTAGCTTTGCCTCGCAGACTACAATTCTAGCAGAAACTAACTTTTACACAAACACATAGTTTGAAAGACGTGGGCGTTACCAGGCAGGGAGAGATATAGAGAGATATTATTGGTTGCATTATGTAGGCTGCACAGTTAATTGAAATATTATCAAAATTGCAATATGGCCAAGTGCAATATGCAAATTGCAGTAGCTAAAATATTTAGATAAAGATAAAATGTGTGACAAAACAGCAATATAATGAAGTGCTGTAGTGCTGCAGAGATTGCCTGTCCTACAAATCTTGTTCTCCAGATTAAGAAAAAACATATTTTGTTTGGTACAGACTCACAAAAGAAATTCACATCATCATGATTTGAATAGTTTTTTCAATGAAAATTAAGTTTGTGTTAGAAAAATGATAATTTCCACACTAATCGTGAATCATATTGCAACCGTAATATCTGTTAAAATAATTGCAATATAACGTGATAATTTAGGAGAATGGATTGTATCAGATTGTGCTTTTTTTACTCTGATATCTGATTCAGTGATTTCGGCCAGTATCGGACCAATACTGAGATATCAGAATGGCATATCCAGATCCACACTAGGGACCAAAAATTTCGTTGATTTTTAATATTCATTTGTTATTCGGTCTCTTGTGATCCCTCTAATAGCAAGTGCATGTCCCAGTTGCTTTACATGATCAAGAACAGCAAAGTATCACAATTTCTCTGGCAGCATGTACATTTCAGCCCTTAATATAAAAAAATTCCACTCAACTTCCCTTCATAAGTATACATGACAATGAGACCAGAAGAAGAACAAAGAATGATATGAATGTTGACAGGAGATAATATTAGTAGGATTTAAGTCTTGCCTCAAGCTGATTTTCAGGTATTTAGTTTAAGTAAGCCTTGTGAAGTGCAAACCTCAGGATCTGCTTAAAGGTGAAGTCAAGTGGACGGAGAAATGTGTGAGGCAGCTGAGATAAACATAGTGTTCTTCTGAAATATTTAGCAGCACAGAGACAGTCTAAAGAACTTACAAAAATAGGTCACTGTTTTCGGTTATACATATTTAGGTATCTTTAGGTTAAAATTCCTAACAAATAGGAGGAATAAGAGGAAGTTAAGAAATGCAAGAAATTCAGACTTGCAACAAATTGTATATTTCACAAATGTGGGTTAAAGACAGCAGTAGTAAAAAATGTCTTTCACAAAATAGTATGTTACCTCTACTGCTTCTGTACATCTGTTGCAAAATAACCTCTTAAGGGGATGTAAATTATGAAATATAACACCATGATAACTCAAATACTAAATACTAAAACTAAAATTTAAAATAAATTACCTCCTGGACTTAAGATCAGATGATATCACCTACAATCCAATACTATATAACAGCACCATACCAAATATGGCCAAGATCAGAAAGCTCAATATGTGTTGTCACTGTGTCAGGAAAGTTTTGATTCATTTCCATGAGAACATTTAATGATGTGGTTTGTGCTGTTGTTAATCCAGCTTTCCTCTCATTGGTTGTCTTTTCACAGGACCTCTGTCTGCATTGTACAGGGATGTAAATGTAGTTCACCCCTCACTGCTGAGCTGTGTGGAACCTCTGGAGAGTCAGCAGGTTCGCGAGCTGCTGAGAAGACTCGGAGTTCATGAAATGGAGCCTCAAGAGCTGCTGGAGCAGCACATCTACCCTTCGATACAGAACAACAAATGGAAGGTGCCATACTGTATATGCTGGGTCACAAAAATGCCACAAAAATGATTTAATGCTTATTTTACACAGCAGGTTTTATGCTTAAAAAAGTATTGCCCATTGTATTTGGCCTAAACATCTCCATTGCTTTCTTACTTTCTCTTCTTGCCCTCTTTTTCCTTCTGCAACCCCATCGATCTGCACTGTTTTCCCCACCAGTCAAAGCCCGAGGCAGTGGTGGTGAGTTACTTGGTATTCATCAAGCTGCATTCCTCGTCCAGCCAGGAGTACTCAGACATCGCAGTACCCATCCTCACCAGCAAGGGTCTGGTGTGCCCAACCAATGAAAGGGTACACTTCTCTGAAGAGTACGGCAACATCAACCTGCCAAAGAAACTGCCTGGTATGGAGAAACACACAGACACACACACACACACTATGGGTATGTGTATGTATGTGTGTGTGTGTATTTTTATTTGTGAGGAAAGTAGTTTGGGATTATGTGAGGGTTTGCTTCCATTGTTAGGGTTAAAGAAAGCATGAAATGCCTGGGAGTATTGAACAGAGTAGTATGGCTGTGTGTGTGTGTGGTGTGCGTGCGTGCGTGCGTGCGTGCGTGCGTGCGTGCGTGCGTGCGTGCGTGCGTGCGTGCGTGCGTGTGTTATGTAAGTGGTAGTGGAGTGGACAACATGTCATGGAAAACGTGTCAGAACACATGGCCTGCACTTTAAAAAATAGAGAGGACCTGAATTCACAAACTACTGTCCTCTATGTTTCTGCTCTATTTAAACACATCGGTTGGAGAATTTTCAAACTAATATTTTTACGTTATTGAAGATGCCTTCGCAGATTTTCTGTTAATGAAATCCACTTTTACTACTGTATATGTTTTACACTACATTATATTGTAATACACACTTTATGCCCCACAGTTGCTGTCTCCATATTATTTGCAGTGTTTAAAGTAGCTCTGGTATGCAGACATGGTCTACTTTCATTTTCTATGTTGCATAAACTAACAGCAGACATTTTAGGTGTTTGTTGGTGAGGTTGTACAGCGTACTATAGCTGATCGAGGGTAGCATAGCTGTTGCATAGCTGTTACTAGTCTGTTTAGGGCTGCCAGCTATTATTTTCATTATCCATTAATCTGCACATTATTTTCTCAGTTAAGGTCGGTAAATAGAGAAAGATTTTCTTCTGTCTCCAAGGTCCAACAATCCAAATCCAAAGATATTTAGTTTATTATCATAAAAGACTGACGAAAATATTCATATTTGATAAGCTATAAAACTGAAACATTTTGCAATTTTTGCTTAAGACAGCACTTTGGTCAACTTTGGTTGTTTTTAAAGTGCTTAACAAATAAAGTTGGATTGGATAAGATATTAAGATCAATTATCAAAATAGTCGCAGAACAATTTTCTGTCTGCCAACTAATGGTTTTGACCTGAAGTCAGTTAGTGTAAAATATGCTTTGAACCGCTCTAATACCAATCTTTTTGATCCATTAGAGATCCCTTACATAAACAAATGAGGCCATGGCAAAAAAAACTAGTGCCAGTCCATCACATTTCTCTGCTATTGTTAGTGCTAGTGGTTTTCGAAGTGATGACCATATTTCCCATTAAGCTACTGTAGTTGATTCCCACCTCCAATGAGATTATACTACAGTACTTTGTTTTGCCTCATTTTGTTTGGGCTTTACTGAGGAAGTTGTTTTGCTAGTGATTTTTCTCCCCCCAGGCCTTGGCTCTTTTCACTATCCATCAGTGCCAGAAACTCTGAAAGCTTTGGTTCTGTTTGTATTGGATAAACAGTGTAGTGGTGTACCTTTTGGCTGTAAAGCAGTGCAACAGATTCCCTTTTTGACAAATAATACAAATGTTTCAGCTGATTTGAATGATTAATTGATGTCAAAGAGTAAAGAATGCCCTTTAGTCTTTTCTATCTTTGATTTCCTTATCTCCTTTACCTGTTCCCCACATTCATGTGTCCTTTACAGTATTTCTTTATTGTTCTTCCTCCTGTTGTGTTCATCCTGCTATCTGTCTGTTTTTTTACTCCACCAGGCTGTGACTGGGTTTTGCTGAGTCCCTGCTATGTGCAGACAGACGACGATGTAGCAGGATGGAGGGAGCTGTTCAGCAGGCTGGGAGTCAGAGACGGTCTCATCATCCGCAAAGAGAGACAAACACTCACTGCTAAAGACCTGGTGAGGCAGACGCCCCTGAGCCGTTACCTCAGCTCTGCAGAAAAACAATTGATTATAAAACCACACCAAGGTCATGACAGCCCCACCTGTGAGCTTAGATGATAAAGGGCTGTGGATGTGTTGTGTAAGGACACAATATTTACTGGTTGCATGGACACCAGAGGCAGAGCAGAATCAAACTGCATTACAAACTAACTGTGACTCATCGTGATGACTAAGGTAGATTAAAGGATGAAGATATTAACCATTATGAGTCACGCTAGGACTAGAGAGATCAATCGCTGCTTTGAGGTTAAGCAGAGAAAGCAGGTGACCGATGGGACAGGGGCGAGGTCGTGCAGGTCAGACATTCCTGATGCCTGTTTTAGCCTGGGCTACAGCAAGCGGGGATAGTATGTGGATTTGTCATGATACCATCAGTCATTGTGTGACCTATGCTGCCTTCATGTAATATGGGACAAGATGGTACTTATATTAGTACATTACATGAATATTAGAGTGAAGAAGCTGATCGGGAGAGAGAAAACACATCAAGATATATTGTTTATGCATATCACACGAAACATGCTTATAAAAGACAATAAAAACACTGAAAAACAAAAAATGTATATATTATATTATTTGTTAAAACATTTTTGGTTAAAATATAAAACCTATATCTAGGGACATCTTACGTATGCTAGCTAACTAGCTAGCTAATATCCATCAATTATTAGCTATCATTTTGCTACAGACCAAAACTCTAGCTAACTATGTAATTTACATAAATGTTTTTCTAGATAGTTAGTGATTTGCTAACATTAGCTAATTAAACCTACAAGGAATTTTTAACTGGTTATGAAACAGTCTCAATTTAATACTGATGCCTCTGTATGACCAATATAAGCACAACCATCAGTGAGTAGATTGGTTATCTCTATATAGTTATTCTTGATGCCTGCCACTGGGTTGGATTCCCCTTGAAATCAATCAAACGAGGCACTGGAAACACAACGGGTTTTGTCCCCAGGGGCCGCCAGAATCAACACAAAATTAAAGTTCTTTGTTGCTGTTTTAAGATGCGACTCTCTCTCTCTCTCTCTCTCTCTCTCTCTCTCTCTTATCTCTCTCTATCTATATATATATATATATATATGTGTGTGTGTGTGTGTGTGTGTGTGTGTGTGTATATAATATATATCACTTTTAGCTTTTAACCATAATGTGGTTGTCTTTTCAATATAGACGAGCTTAGCACATAGTATATATAAGTACAGGGCATTAGAAATTTGACTGTGCGTTGAGCAAGCTTCGGTCAGAACCTCAAAGGGGCAGAACTTAATGCTATGACAAGTATATTATTCAACACAACAGCAGACTCATCTCTTAACAGCATACATGAGTCTGTAGAGAGATAGAAATTGTGTCCTGCTCATAGTTAGTTAGAAGATCCTAGCACTTAAGTGAGTTCTCTTCTGCTAGGCTGCTGACAGTACTGTCAGCTAAAGAGCCACTACACTGGACAACAGTAGAGGAGATTGTACCAGCGTCTGGTTCAGAAGTATTTCACTTGACTAGCATTCATCCCCAGAGCTGAGAGAGTCAGAGCAGCCAACATCAACGACATGCACTGCCCTCCGTTTTTATTTACCCATCTCTGTTTGCATCACAGTTTTATGGCGTGTTAAGTTTATAGCCTCGCCATGCTGTTACTCCTGGAGCTCTGTGTACAGTGACTCAGCGAAAAAAGTGCAGTGAATTGACTGATAAAATGCAAGTCGACTTGTGGTCTTCTGGACTGATTTCACTCGAATCGCTAACTTTAAGGGGGCAGCGTTAGTGTAATGTGATCAAATCACTGAAGCAGCAGTGTTCTGGCCAATCTGGAGGCTTTTGGTAAATGACTTGCATATGCCTTGTGAAAATTCTGCAAGAAATGCATGAAAACTGCAATTGTGGGATCTATTAGTTGTCACTATTAATTGTCAAGTTGTTTTCACACAGTTTTCCCCATAGGATGTGGCTGTAGATCAAGAGATTAGTGATACACCGCTTCAGTAACATTATGTAATGTTGTTGTTTTCTCCCATCCTCTTCCTCCAGGCCTCCAGTCCCTGGTCAGTGGAAAGTACAACGTGGTACCTAAAACCAGGGGAAGGCTGTATGCTCGATGACTACCCCTGTGAGGAGTTTCATGCCCTGGCCACAGCACAGCTGCCTGGCTCCCTCCTCCTGCAGCAGAGGATGGCCTTGCTGGAGTTGCTGGCGACCAACTGGGATACCGGGTAACACACACATTTAGATATTTCACCTCCTATGTCATATTCTGTCCAGTGAAGATTGTGTCATTGGAGAAGCAGGTGCATTCACTGGGTGTGTGTTGAGGAAACCTAATGGCCAGAGATAATGGTTAGGTTAATGGCTTTAGGGTTATTCAGGGTCAGGTAGTAAATCCCATTGTTTCTACTGTGGCCATTAAGTATTTACTGGGGTGAAGTGGGGGTTGTTGTTTGACAGTTATTTTCTGTCTGAGAGAAAAGTGGTGACACATCAGCCTTTTGTGTGGGTTTGAGGTCGCCGGAGAGATCAGTCTGGGGATTAATTCATCTGGATTTAGTTGCTTTCAGGTCTGCCCCATCTCGTTAGTTACTGTTATAGACGTGAGAGTAGACAGCAGCAGTTCAGTTAAAGAGGTCACCCAAACTCACACTGGTGAGCTGGTGAACAGGCACACTGTCGGTAAAAGAGCAGCATGGGAGTTAAAGGTTGACCTTTTCTACAAGCTACTCTTTTATATCACGGTCGGATGAATAATTAACGCATCAGACTGTCATTGTTTGCATCATTTATACTTTACATAAGTTCCAACCATTTCCCAATGCCATCGAGTTTTATTTTGCAGCTATTCACATCATGCTTTCCACAGTGTTCACCTTTGCTTTTTATATGTCTTTACAGTCTGAATTGTGGACAGCATAGTTTATGAAAAAAATCGAACTGCAGAGCACGGTGGTGCCCTACCAACACCACACTGGCCGATAATTCAAATCACACGACAGTTTCAGCTGCTTTACCATGCAAAGATAACATAAGAGACAAATCTAAAAAACAGAAAAAGTATCCATCATTGTCATGTGATAGATTCTCAAGCAAGATTTTCATACTATACAATAAGCAATGGAAAAAATTGGAATGGAATATAATATTCATAGGTATGTTTTCATGAGTGTATCATCACCTGAATATAGAAACCGTTGTGTTTTTGTTACCTTAGATTGAGGCATTTTTATCTACAGATGCTGCAGGTCTCCTTCCATGGAGTCTTTCATGTTGAATCGGCATGTTTCTACAGCAGCCCAGGATGGACAAACCAAATACTGGCTGTAGATGGGGCCTTTTGCTAGTTTTGCGGCCATTGGTCAGCAAATATAGACACAACTGGCTTTCAGTTAGTTGCAATCTGCAACTTTACCATTAGATGCCACTAAATCCTACACACTGGTCCTTCAAATTTCAGACACAAAACATTGAAATTATCCGCATACAACAACACTCTTAGCAACTATTCTGAAATTTGAATGGCCTTGCTTTGTAACAAAAAAGTAATTTTAAACCTACTCTTTCTTACAGGGACATTACATTATCCATAGCTCTGTAGTCACGTGGAGCATAACTGTCTTCTATTACAATGGTCAATTTGACACAAGTAGATTTTTCTTTGGAGCGTAGATAAGAATTTCTCAGTGCATTTAACTGTGGCCATTAAGCACGTGCAGCACTGCTGAGTGCTGTATCTTCTGCAGAGGAATATAGGTCACACAGTTGTGCCACTTTGTTGAGCTGTCACAAGTGGAATCATGATCAATGAAATACAGCTGCAGACGCCGTCAACCATGCATTGTTATCATAGAATCTCTGAAGTTATATGATCATATATTGAATGTATCTCGATAAAGAAACACTGTCATTTTTTGCCAGCATCTATTCTGTTACTACTGTAGTGAGGGGGTTTTTAAGTTTGAATTAATCTGTTCTTTCTTATTCTTCCAGGCACCGCTACTCTCAGTACCTCACAGCTCAGGTGATTGACAGGGATGGACGACAAATCAAAAGCACCAAGTCCTCCTTCTCCCACTTCTTGCGCTCTCTTGAATGGGTGCCAGCGTATCGCCCACTGGAAGGAGAGCAGCAAGAGAGAAAGTACCTCTGTCCAAATTCTGTCTACCTGACCTCACCTGAGATCACCAACCTGCTGGGCACTCATGTGTGTTATGTGGACATAGACCCCAGCGAGTTTAGCCGAGCTCTAGGTAAAAATGTGTCTACTGTGGTGTAGATCACTGTTGTTATTTGTTTTTCCTGTAATTGCTGCAGTTTATTTTGAGCCAGTTACATAACAGACAGTCTGTCTGTCGCTGTTTTTTCCCTTCTTTTAGGAATGAGACAAAGCATCTCAGTGGATGCTCTGATTAACTACCTGAAGCAATGGTGTGTCAAACCACAAGCAGATAACCAGGAGCAAGGACTACCTGAAGATGAGTTGGAGGGGGCAAATTTCACCTCCACAGTCCAGCACATCCACAACGTCTACAACTATCTGCATATGAACTGTCCCAAGAGCAGCCTGAAGGAGCTGTTCCAGCATAACCCCGCTGTATTCATAGAGCACAGCAGGTACGTCACCAGCCATATTAGCGTACTTTTTCAGGTAAATGTTTGAATTTAGTCGCCTAAAGCCACAAATCAAACTGTGCCCCACCCCCTTAGGCAACATGATGGCTGGTGTTCGGGGCGTTTCTACCACCTGAAGGAGGTGTGTTGGAGTGACACGACAATGATGTTCCATCGCTACAAACAGCTGACTCACAAACCGGACAGCCCTGTCCAGGAGCCCAAAGTCCTGGCTCCCTTCTACAGGGACCTGGACGGGATGCAGTCCTTCTTCAGAGTACGCTGCTCCTTTACTGTTGTCCTGTCTCAGTGTGCATTTAATTTCCCTACATGTATAAAATGTTTCTTGACTCATGGTTTCTTACCCTCATTAAGCTAGTTACTGTTGCTATGCTGTTACTATAATGTTAATATTATTTTAAAACTATGGCTCCTTGTTTTCAGACAGAGATAGACAAAGGGAGGCAACTCTCGCTTTTCTTGCAAATGTTATCTGTTGCTGCTAAGCTTATACTCAGATTTCCAAATTTTTCACTTTTACAGTTACAAAAGAAAAGGCTTTTGGAATGTGGACTAACTGATGGGTGTGGCAGATATAACCGTATCCGGGGTAGCTGAACTTTAAACTTCCCCAAACACACCCCACAAACTAAAGTGTAGTTAGTTACTGATGTGCTCCTTAGACTTGGAAGTAAAGCTACTGTAGGTAGTAAGCTAGTTAGTGCGACATGCTAAGCTTAGAACAGATAAACACATTGTTTAACCCGTCCTTCACACTTTCAGAGTGTTTACGGTCACTCCGGATGATAATGCAGGTTTTGGGAGTTGAAGTGGATTTTACTATGAAGGCACTTTGCTGGGTCTGCTGTATTAATAATTGTTTGATCAAACTCCACCATTACTAATGTACACTATGCCTGTGTCTGTGATTACATATCTTACGTTATAGCTGCTGAACGTGGATCCCAGTCCCAATATGAATCAGTATGTCGGTTTGCTGGAACTGATCTGTTCATCGTCTCCCATACCAACTGCTGAAGTGCTACAAGATGTCTCAGTGCTCTATGCCAGACTTGGTAAGGACATTTACATTGTTCGCATTCAGTCAGTCACACATTTCCTTACTCTTGTCTCCCTATGTCACATCTGTCTACAGCTCATTATCTGCTCAACAACTGTTGTTTCCCTCTTGTCTAGCTCGACTTGTTACATCCTCCCTCTGTTCCCTGACTTTAGCTATAATATAACGTAATATCTCTCAACCTTCAACAGCTCAAAAGTGTACAATACCGGCATCTGGTGAACAGGACAATCTCACTCAGCCCAATCTTAATCCTGGTTACTGCTCCACTTTAAAGGGTGAGTATTGCATACACATTCATTACCTCTTTAATCTGTGTGTCTGTCTGAGTCCCCATTGGCCGACTGTTTACTGCAAAGTATTTGCTGCAAACCACCACCTGTCAGTCCACACATGTTTTTAAAAGCAGCTGGGAGGAGTTAGTTGCTGCAGTCTGGAATGACTTTACACTGGAGACTGTGTTTAGAGTGTGTGACAGCAGCAGAGTGAACTACAGTACTAATGTAATCAGGGACTCATCTGAAGTGTTTGAATTCTGACAGATAGTCTGTTCCCAAGCAGCGAACAGTTGTTTTTTTGTTTTTTGTTATTTCTAACGGATGACCAGGCTCTTTCAGTTGGGGACAAAAGGAAGTGTGTGTGACTTAAACTTTCTAAAGGGATATCTGCAATGTCCACCACGATTATCACATTATGACATCTTGGTGGTCATGGGAAAAAAGGTTTTTTCTTACTTTAACATCTGGTGGCACATTGCAAACGTGCACTGCTAATAGCTAATACTATAAAAACCTTTGATGGAGAATTGGCAAAATATGGGGCTTTAACTACAAAAATCGTTACAATATCTCAAAATAAAATATTGCAATATGGTATTTTTCGATATTTTCTTGTACCCCTATAAAGCGCCTTAATGGAAGTTACCTCAAACATATCTTTGGTATTTCTGTACTGCAATTTCTTGCAGCGTCCATGATATTCCGCTGATTAATAGTTGGTTGCCTTGATGTGCAAAGAAAGGAATTAATGTACCAGCAAAGGCAGTGAAGAAGAATACTGCTAGCTAGTAAACACACATGTAAACAATGCAAGATTTCAGATATTAACAAATTAGAAATAAGGAAATACATTCGACTTGTTTATCAGTGCTAAAGGATACATGCAATGTGTTTTGTGTGTTAACTAAAAACTAGACAGAGCACCTTCAGTGATAACGGAGCTGTAGATTGCACAGTGGAGGCTTCCAACTGACCCTGGCTGTCCTTTTTGCCTTTTGCTCAGGTATGGTGTCTGATAAGAGGGTCTTCCCCACCAAGGATAACATCTGGGTGAGTCTGGCACGCAAACCCATGATTGCTGACAACAAAGAGCTGGAAAAGATCTTTAAAGATTGCAAGCAGATCTGTCTGCTCAACCTTCCGCCAGCAGAGAAGAAGACTGGTGCCCAGAGCAAGACTGGGAACTCTGGTACGCTGCTGCTGCAGTTTTTTCTACATACGGTTGTCATTGTTAGATTTGTGATTACTTTTGACAATACCCATTAGGAATTATAATAATTATAATTAAAACTGCATAAATTTAACCTATGTTAATACGGAGGTCCTGACTGTTGTTGACAGGTCACACAGTGTCAGGAGAACGAGCTAACGGCGTACCTACCTTCAACGAGAAGGACCGATCTTTGTTTATGGAGATCTGCGGGATCCGTCAGCTGTCAAAGTGTGTCAAGACTGAGCCTCAGACTGAGAGCCTGAGACCCTGTCCACCCATGCAGGCCATGGTGCGCTCCCTTATACCCTACATCCAGAAGTTCCTCCACCACCACGACGAGCTGCGTGAAGTCTATTCAGAGCTGGTTGACAACAACATTGCAGAGAAAATCAAGAGACTTTCCTTCGGACAGGTCAGAAGATCACACCTAGTTGGTTTAGAACATTTAAAAACTGGAGTTAGTTCTTTATTTGGTGGTTTTAATGGAGACACCAATTGAACAGAGGCCTTGTTGAGGAAGAATCTTTAAGCCCTTTTCAACTGCAGGAACTTTCTCCTCACTACCTACCTCTCTGTCCCCGTAGCTCTGTCGAACCAGATTTCCTAATTTGCACTCAGCCTGTCATTCAATTTTCACTTTGTGTGTAATTAGCACCTGATTTACTAAGGAAGGAGCTCATTAGTGTGTGCAGTCAGTGCAGGGATTGCATTCTGCACAGGAAGAAGAGCTCAGTAGGTGCAGTTCAGCAGTGGATGTGTCTGAGATCACCAAACTCAGGAAAGAAATAATAATGTGACAGTTCTGATTTCCACTCAGCGTTCTTATCAGTACTGTAACTGTCTCTCCCTAAGCAGTCAGGACTGGTTTGACTCTGGCTCGAACAAAGTCTTAGACACACTCTTAAAAAATACTTTTCATTACTATATAACACTCCAGTGTTTCCTCTAGGATTTTTTTTAGCAGCAGCGGCAGCAGGCCCGTCCGAACATATATACATATGAAAACAGCAGTAATTGTTATAAAGCTGTGATTGCCAATCAGCAGTACGTGTACCCCAGCCCTTACTTCTTTTTTTAGAAAAAAGTCAGAAGTAACACCTGAAAAGCTGGTGTTGTGTAAAGTGTGTGAAAACTAGCTAGTTAGTAAGATTTCTATAAAGTTAGCAGAAAGTAATGGGTGAACGGTTGAAATAGCTAAAAGTAACAGGTAAATTGTTGAAATAGGTAGCTAAATGTTAAAATTATTCAGTAACGTATCTAAAAATGGATAATTGGTAAACATAGCTAACGGCAACATAAACCATTGAAATAATTGAAATGGATAAATAATTTGAAAAGTTAGCTAAAGACACTGATGAGCACATTTGGAACACGATTGGTGGTGTTGATGAAGGGGTACAGGACTATGGGGTTGGGAACTGTATTCTTGGCTCTGAAGAGCAAAGCACAAACATAATGTGATGCGGAACCTGCTGTATGTCCACTTTAAGTTGTTGTCTGATTGTTTCCAGGTGGGTAAGTTGTACATTCGCTACCAGCTGGATATTGCTGACGGCGAGAAGGTGGAGATGCGGGATGTTATTTGTCTGCTGAAGGACAAGAAGGAGCTTTACATCCAGAAAGATCACCTCACAGCCAAGCTGGACATCTGCAGGTGTGTAAATGTTCAGTTCTCATGAATAGCTGTGTTCTTCATTTTGAAGTATTGGTTGGGCAAGGTTGCACACACAAGCAATGCCTTGTAATCCTGTGTGTGTGTGTGTGTGTGTGTGTGTGTGTGTGTGTGTGTGTGTGTGTGTGTGTGTGTGTGTGTGTGTGTGTGTGTGTGTGTGTGTGTGTGTGTGTGTGTGTGTGTGTGTGTGTGTGTGTGTGTGTTTCTGCTTCAGGGAGCTGGTGAAACTGTTCTGCACTGAGAGCAGCCACAGGAAAGAGCTGATTCATTTCCTGAGTGGCCTGATAACCTCCCTCAATGTAAGTGATAAATGATCCCGTCAAACATTGATCACTAATCGCTCTTTGCTTGCTCGCGGTCGCCCTGTCATTCTCCATCTCTTCTATTACACTTACACACGTTACCACCACCACCGCAGAGCTGAGCGTAGCTAGAACTAATAGCTCATTTCCCCCGGAGGGAGTCACGTTTACATTACACTGCAACTCGCTCTCATCTCTGTGGAGCAGTGCAGCAGCAGAGGCTCTGTGAAGTCGGAGAGTTAAAAGGTTAACGAGGCTCACGCCAGGCCTCAACTTTGATCCCTCTCCCTCTTGTGTCGGTTTTTCTTTGTACAGCAGCTTTTTTGAGACACGCAGCAGAACTCGGCTGCATTATATAATCGATATTGAAATCTGGAGAAGACACAGCCGACTGTTTGATTGAACGTCTATGCCTGGATTTGTAAATAAAATGGAATTTTTGACTGTTTGATTAAAGATTTTAATGATGCGTTTCTGAAGCGTAACACCCCATTTTAATACACTGGAGTCAGAGAGATGCAGATATGAGAGGATTAGGCGGAAAATGCGTACAGATCTGCCTCTCGACTTATCATATCCGCTTATTACTTTAACTTTTATATTATTCTCTGGAATTGATCAAACAGTCGTAGATTTTAATTAGGTCGTCGACATTTTAACGAGATGTAAGGTCTCGGAAGCAACAAGGTTTGGAATAACTGCAGAAATCTACTCAGCTCTGGTCTTCAGACATTGAGGAGTTCTCTTTGAATGATTTTGAATCCCTTAGTTTCTGTATGAAGTACTTCAATTCACTCAAGCCATGTTTTATAGGCTGAATAATGAAATTCTTGGAGAGCATTAAATAAATCTTGAATCTAAACCAGATGTACTATCCTTCATCAAGATTATTTGTCACCACACTCATTAACTCTGTTTGTGTCTGAAGGACCAAGCATCCCTGAAGAGATACTTGCTCAAGGAGGACATCAGAGATTTGCCCAGTGAGGAGGAGGTGTGGGAGGTCCCAGAGCCCCCAAAACCAGAGATCAACCTGGACAGAGGTACGGAAGGCGCACTGTTCCCACAAGCTCCATCACTGCACTTAAAGCAAGACGATGTAACTTTTGACATAAGAAACAGGATAATCTTCCCATTACGAATGGGGAAAAAGCTGAATTCTCAAACATTAAAACCCACCCGCACTATTCAGTACACTCTGGGGGTTTTGCTGCTACAGCCTCACTTGTTCCGATATGACCAGTAGCTTATGGTTCTTTTTCTACTGGTACACTGTATTTTAGTATGTCACAAATGGATGCCGCAGTTTTAAGATAAATATTCCACTTACTCTTAGTCAGGTTGTCTATTGATGAAGTCTTTAAAGGAACTGACTCTGGAAAATGAAGGAAAATTCAAAGTGTTTAAAATGTACCGATTATCCTGTAACTGCCACAGTGGCCACAGTTCCTCAATGGTTATATAGCCTTACTTGAAGCTCTCACATAAAACCAGTAAAAGGATAAGTCAGGTGTTATTCTTTTTTTTTTTCATGTTAGTCTGTTTGTCAGTACTTTCCCTACCCTGTCCATTTGCTCCTCCTGAAGTCATTTCCTAAAACGGCTGGCCACTGTAGCTTTTAGCAAACGTTGCTCAAACTGGAGGAAATAGTGCATTTGTTTGGAACTATTTTCAGCTGCGGATTAACACGTCTTTGGTGTGCAAGAAAACATTTCCAGCAGCAGGACGGTGTATGTGGGATTGAGTCAAAATAAACTAGAGTGTGTGTGTTCATGGTAATAAAGGAACATGTCACCCAGTGCGACAGTGTGGCTCACAAACAGCAACCTCTGTGAGAAATGAAACCAAAGAGGAAGTGCCAGAAACTGCAGTTCCTTAAACAGCCACTTGAGGCTGGCTCCAGAAGTGAGTCAATCTCCATAAGGCCTATTGCCAACTTTACAGCAGAAATCAACACGTTTACAGCCTGGTACAAAAAACAGTTTTGGTCTTTATAGCAAATTTCCCCATTCATGACCACTCTAGGGGGGTGAATGTTTATATAACTCACCTGTTTAAATTAAATTAAGACTTCAAGTTATGCATAATTAAGGGAATGGGCGCTTTTAGTGACAGGTGGTTGCCGTGATGTTCCACGTCTTTGCCCATATTTGGATTAGCTGGGAGCCTGTGGAGTCAGATCTGCCAAGATGGCGAAGGCCGTGGTGGCTCACTGATGTGTTTTTAATAGCTCTTGGTAAGGAGTCACAGAGTATGGAGAGATGAACTAAGGAGTTGTTGGTTTTGTTCTTTTACAGTGTTCTCATTAACATGTCCACATTAGTGGTAATGTGTACACAGTGTTGGGAAAATACATAAGTGCAGCCCTTTGTTAATGTGTGAGAGAATGACAGTTGCAGAACATCAGCATGTAAGTCGGTGCTCTGACTGGAGCATGAGCTGAATCCCAACAACACTGTGAGTCTGTGTGAAAGTGACATCTTACATCTGCACTTTCTCCAATTCTCTCTGTGACACTTGCCCCGATTTCCATTATCATTTCATAATATTCAAAGTGTTTTTCTTCTCAGACACTCTGCACACACGCGCTCCCTTTACACACACACACACACACACACACACACACACACACACACACACACACACACAGATAACTGGTGTGTTTCTTCCATATGCTAATTTAGGTTTGTTCACTGTTGTGTGTGGCAACATAAAAGAGCAGCTGTTGCCAAGGCTCAAAGAGCGAGAGGAGCAGATCCCTCACTGCAGCAAAGACAACACACACACTTGCGCTCGCTCTCACACACACACACACACACACTTACATATGCAAGGATTAATATGATCAAAAGACTTTTTCATCACAGATCTGTTTTTATGGCATAACATCACTGAAATAGGCTTATATATGATTGGTGTTTTACAGCTTCTGTCCAATCTTGGTTTTAACTTACTGAAAATGTTGTTCTTCAGCACTATCAAGGAGTTACTCCTCCATCAGCTCCCCAGAGGAGCCAACTCACCCTGCTCAAGAGGATGGGGAACAGACGCTGGTTTGCTGGCCTCCTCGAGCATCCATACTGAATACAGCCAGTCGCACAGGTACATTAAAAAAGGAGATGCTTGTTTGAGCGTGGTCATTTCTTCAAAACTACATTTCACACAATTTCTATGTCCCAACAGCTCATGCAGACAGCGGTGTGGTAGATAACATCATGAAGATGTGGCCACCTCCCGCCCCGCCTAAAGACAAAGACCCAGAGAAGGACATGGCTTCCAGAGGAGGCAGCCACGTCATCCCCCAGAGTCCCAGCAGCAGCAGCAGCTACGAGGGCAACCAGCCACTCAGGAGCAGCAGCAGACCTACAGACCAGCCCGGCCTTCAGAGAGTCCCCACCCATCCAGGCCAACCTAACCCTGCTGCTGTGACCTCCAACACACCACGACCTCTAGGTTACACATTCAAGAATCTTCTGTCTCCTATTGCCATTGTTCATACTGGTTTACAGTTACTTTGAAAATAATCTGATTGTTGCAATCAGAATATTGAATTTAAAGCTGCACTAATCAATATTTTGGGTTTTATGATGGATCAAATTACTGTGTGTAATTTGAAAGGGGTCACGTGTAGTGACAAACCCATAGACAGCTATCACCCGACTCTGCAGTTCTCCTCAGCCCTAAACAGCTTTTTAGCCTCTTTTAGCTCATTGTTTTTGTTTTCTGGTCCACAGCCACAGCAGGCAGGTGTTTTCATTGAAAAAGCTTTGATAGAGTACGCTACCTGCCCATCGCCACAGGGCAGATTGACAGCAAGTTAGCAACTAGCTGGTGACGACAGTGGAGCATTTAGCAGCTAAACAGCGAGCAGAGCTATTTTTTCTCAGAAGCAGAACTAAAAGGAGAGTAGATATTGGACTTACGTTCTTCTGGTCTCTAGAAACAATGAATTAGTGCAGCTTTAACTCACATGTAAAGTTGTTTTAGCCCTATAAATGTTACATATTAGAGAGTTTGTCACCCAGCAGATAAAACAGTTACTGGTGCTGTAAGTAAAATTGGAATTTTAGCTACATTCCTGTCCGTTCATGCAGTTAGCTGTCCTCTCCCTCCTCCCTGCATCACCACACAGAAATTCTGCTTCTTGCCCTTGAGGACTGCCTTTTGTGGAGTTCTCTCTCCTGATTGGATGAAGTGGGAACAGGATAACAGAAAATGTATTCTCTGTTTACAGCAGAAAGAAATCATCCCTCACTGCAGCTTTAAGAGAAGCTCTATGAGAGGAGATACATGACCTCTAACCACCAGTCCCACACTATGTTGAACATCCAGGAGCTATGAAATAGTTTTTCTGTTTTTCACATGGCAGCATTTTAAAACTAGCTTATGTTTATGGTGAAAATAAAATGTAAATCCGTTCTACCAAAGCAAGGTCTCTATAATAAAACTAATCTAGTATCGATTTCATAATTAGTTTTTTTTTTCTCATTTTAAAGCCATTATGTTTTTGACTTTAAAAAATGGCACAAACAAAAATTGTGGAAGTTGCCATAATCACATATACAGAACATCCTGTGTTGAATTCTTCCATTTGGTTTTGTCTGTCACTGACAGAGCGCGGCCAACAGAGTGAGACCGCTGAGTCTGACAGAGCTGAGGATGGAGAGAAAAGCCTCACAGCTCCCGGACCAACGCAGAGTCCTCCATCTGCACTGCCTGCTGAGACAGCCAGCGAGCAACCGCCTCCAAACAGCCTGTAGGCTTCTTCTCCTCATCCCCAAAAATCCGAAAAATGGATGCAGAAAACTAATGTTGATTTACTGTTTCTCAATATATAAAAACCCAATTCCCCCGACCATCTCCCCTCACTAAACTGGTCTTTTCTATGTCTCTCTGTCAGCGTCGTCCCTGAGGCCGTGGTGCTCTCCGGTGTGTTTCAGGGGACTGCGGCCACTGCAGACACTCAGCGTCCTCCTCTGAACCTGGACTTCCCTCACTGGAACACACAGGCCACACTGGAGGACATGGAGCTCACCTGCCAGAGACCCACCACCGTCAGTACATCCTCTACATTTCATGGTTCCTCTGTGGTCGAGCAGTTGCAATAAACTCTAAACTGTGCTGTCCTTGCGTAGGTGGTGTTGTCCGATGATTTTATGGACGTGGCGGCGATCGGCGAGTGGGGGGAGCAGTTGGTCAACTCCTTCCTGTGTCACTGGAGAGACGGCGGCGACCCCGGACGACCCACGCAGGTCCTGTGGTGCAATCAGAGCGGGGAGAGCGGCCAGCCCTACGACTTCAGGCTGACGTTCGGCACCGCGGGAGGGCCGGGGGTGGTGTACGTGGAGGTGAAGTCAACGATAAAGAAGGAGAAGTCATTCATCCACCTCTCTGCCAACGAGCTGGACTTTGCACTGAAAGAGAAGGAGCGCTATCACGTATACAGAGTGTACAGCGCAGGAGACGCCCAGAACGTTCGCCTGTGTCGCATTCAGAACCTGGCGCAGCATCTCCATACCAAGGACCTGGCACTTTATCTGTTCGTATGAGTCCTTTGTAAGTTTGTGGAGATATTTGCACTATATTAATCAGAACACTCAAATGCCTTTTTAAGTTCATCCTTACTGCACTGATTTTAGTTCTTTTAATGATGATATTTAGTGTATGTGGTCTTTTCCTAATGTATGTTCATTAAGCACATTTTCCTTTGTCCAGAATGCTTTTTCTGCCAACTGCACAGTTCTGTGTTTTCTAGTACGATTTTAAAGTAACCAGTGGATATTCTAAATGTTTTTAACCTTTTTTTATTTCCCCTACCTCACCTTTACTCTAGCATTCCTTTGAAATAAAAACCTTATTCTGTCAGCTGAATGACTGAGTGAGTTTGACTGGTCGTACTGTATGTGAACAGACACACGCAGCCTGTTTTTATTTCTTAAATAAGCTCACAGGCGGCTCTAGTACACAATTAGCAATGAGGGATTCTGTCACCTTAACCTCAGCGACCACCAGATGAAGTGATTATAGCTGAGCTTTAAGTTAAATCAAGTGGAAGCGGAGCTGACTGGACAGGTCCCTCACAGGCTCCCATCATTCCTGGTAATTACACTGTCACAGTGAGCAGGCAGTACTTTGATAGTGCAGGCACACAGAACATCTATATGATGCTCACTTCCACTCGTCTTCAACCACTTACAAGGCTATTTGACACAGTTATTACTCCTTAAAAGAAAAGGCAGTCTATTCTGCAAAGTTCAAGCCTGAAACAAAACCACCAACTGAAATATTTCCCACATTTTTATAAGTGTTTTCAGGTTGTCCATCCATTGGACACAAATCAGTTATTTCCCTTCATTTCTTAAAATAACATTAACACTATACATCCCCAGCAATGACACCTAATTCCACTTTGAACCAACCCGACAGCATCCAATAAAAGTGCAGGAGGAAACCATGAAGAACTACTGACTGCCAGTTGGAAAAAATGATACCAAAAAGATCATTTTGTTTGGTTTGTTGTGTTTAAAATGACATTATATTTGGTGAAATGTGCATTATGATTTGTTAAGGACTCAGAACAGAAAGTTTAGGACTTGGGTCTCGAGCGCAAACACTTGAGACTTAACTGTAAAACAATCACTTCCACCTTATTCGGGGACGACCACTTGGACTCGATGATGAACTGATCAAAATCTGGTGCTCAAAGGTCAAGGTCACTGTGACATCACAAAACACTTTTTGGCCATAACTGAAGAATTGATCACCAATTCTCACAATTGGTCACACGATGAATTGATGATGCAGAGGTCAAGGGTCACTGTGACCTCAAAATGACCTTGACAGATGTTTTTTGGTCATAACTCAGGAACGGATGCGGTAATTATGACAAAATTTCACATAGATGTTTGACTGGGTGCAACCATGAAGTCAATCTATTGTTATTATCTTCCACTTCCTGCTTCAAGCATCATCAGGATCATGTGACTGCAAACAACATACTGGAGCGTGCCTATCTAATGGTGATCCTGTGAGTGAGTAGGTTTCACCAACAGCTCATAGAGAGGCTTCACAGCTAAAAATGCCAGGAGACAACAAAAGCACCACATTCTCTATAGAATCCATCCTGTACATGTGTAGCTGCTAAGCCAATACATCTATGATAATTCATCTGTACCATCACTATAATTATAACTTCCATTTAGCTAAAAAATACACTTAATCGCTTTTATATAATTATTATGAGTCTGGACAGACATGGATGCAAACTGAAACTTGACTGGTTGGTGGAGCCATACAAGCATTATTCTAGTTTTTGCTTTATAACATTTAAAAAGGACAGAGTGTGTGTGGCTGTAAGATGCAGAGAAATCAACCCTGCATCATATTGTGTGAAAAGAACCGATCTGGTGGTCCCTGAACCTCACTACCAGAGCCCCAGTCTGTGTACTTGCTGTAATCCTCCCAAAACAGGACACTTATTATTACCCATGTGATGAATGTTGAAGAGATCAGAAAACAGCCTCTGGGGACAGCACCTCCCTATTTTCATCCTGTGATGCAACCTCTTGGTAACCAGAGGGCTGTTTTCTACAAAGAATCAGTCATGGATAATGTGTCACTGAGAGACTAAATGTACTAAATGAACCGATTGAAGCATGTTTCTGATCAGAACCGAGGTTATTTAGCGTAAAGATGTACATATATATAATGCTGCAAGAGCTGAAAAAGGTCTACTATTCATTTAAAACGCAGTGCAGTAGTTCATAGGGATGGTAAAAATAAAATGTCCCAACAGAGAGAACATGTTGGAATAAGATAGAATCTGTTAACCTGCTGCAGTGCTGCTACAGAGCAGAGATACAGAGACTCATATTGAGCCGCAGTCATGAGACAGAACAGAGATGACTACCAGGTGATATTTGTTTTTTTTCCCACAAACAACACATTTATATTAGAAGTGGGACTTTTCTTGCACTGCACAGATGCCCCCTCTGTATTGCGTTTACGAGGCATTCATGTACAGCTTGTAAACCCCAACTAAAGGGTTCTTATGTCATAAATAAGTTAAGAGGTGATTTTTGGATCGAAAAAAAAGAGCGTTTGTGTATTTCAAGGGCTGTCTTCTGCTCCTGATTTAGATTATTAACATTATTCTTTTTTTAATCAATAAAAAACTTTAGTGATTATCTAAACATTTAAGTGCAACTTGCAGTTTCTAAAAAAAATTAAGAAAAATTAAGACTAGATCAGATAAGATTGACATCACAGAAAGTGCTCTGTGGGCACCACACTGCAGACCTCTAATCTATAACTGTACAAAACTGTATCATCTGCATAACAACGCCCGAATTAACACCTCAATTATTTACAGAGAGAATGAAAGTGGGACAAAGTTTACCTCGAGTCCTAAAATCTAAAAGGTTTGTTTATTGTTTTAAAATAAATGCCACAAAGAGGATTCTATATAAAAATTCCACTTTTCCATGGGGCTCAAATGGGTACAATGAGTGTCAGTTGCCATACTTTAGTTCTTAGCTTAATTAATAATATCATTTTGTTGTTTTGAGCATAATGAAAAAAATTATAATTTAAAAAATAATGTTAAGTTGTGCTTTTAAATTCTCTGGTAAACTTCAGTCATTGTTTACACTTTCTCCTTTTAAGTCAAATCTAGTCACAGTCACTGAGCGTTACGCAGTTGTGGCTGACAATGGCAGGAAAGAAAGACCTGCACCAGTTTAGCGCACCCTTGCACCCGTTGTGATAAGTCCGACTGCCCCTGAAGGCATCATAGTCTGTACGGAGACAGCGAGCAGCGGCGGCTCCCGGCGGAGCAGCGCTGTGATTGGTCAGAGCGGAGAGCAGGGGGAGGGCCTTTCTCTGGCGCTCCTCTCTCCTCCGCTGCCTCCCCGCTCCTCTCCTCTCCTCTCCTCTCCTCCCATCCTAGAGGACAGAGCGATGCGGAGACAATAGGACGCAGAGCCCGAACGAGGCTGCAGGATGCTCCGCGCCACATCTACCGTCTCACCGCTGCACGGAGGCTTCTCACGGCGCACCGAGAGCAGGCGATTCTCCCGGCTCACCTGGCCTTAGTATGCGCTCAGATCATCCCGTGTGTTTATCAGCAGCTTGGGCTGACAGGGCGGACTCTACAGCCCCCATATGGGAACCAATTGAAGGGTGAGTGGCGGAATAAACCCGGGTTCATCATCCCTCACCTGCACCCGGTACAACCCGCATCTGACTCACTGAACAGCAGTTACTATAATAACTGGGATGTATTGCACTGTGTTTCATTGTAGTCAGTGCCCGATCGATTAGGCCTTTTTTTGTGCAGCAGCATACACTGAAAACAATGCTGTGATTGGTCCTTCATGGTGTGTTGTGTTGTTGTCCCATTTATCTCCAGCAAACAACACAGAATGCAGCTCGTTGGCATTTTAGAGTGTTTACAAAATCCCAGTAAAGTGGAATTTGTATTATTGATCACAACACAACCTCTGGCACCCCTCCATCAGCCCACCCACCCCCCCACCTTGCATCCTGTGTACTGGGGGCAGCCAGGTATCTGCAGCAGCTCCTGTGTGTGTGTGTGTGTGTGTGTGTGTGTGTGTGTGTGTGTGTGTGATTGCCTGTCACTCAGCTCTGGGCTCTGTTACAATAAGTGACGGTGCTTTTTCCTCAGAGTCGGTGCAGTCTTAGGACACACTGCAGGTGGGATCCAACGTGACGTATCCCCACAGAGTGCTGGAGCCGATGGTGTCTGGAGGATAATGAGAGACCAGAATGTTTACATCCTGACTGCCTGCGTCCACATGCTGGTTTCAGGGCTTGCTGGGCCAGTGTCCAGTTATTTTTCTGCCTTCCTTAGAAGAATTCAGTGTTGCAACAACCCATTATGCTGCACTGTTGACATCCAGAACACTTACAGCCAATGAAATTAGTATTCTGCAGCAGTGATGTAGGCATCAACTAACTTGTAATTAATACCTAATCTTTCATTGCTTTATGTATTCTGAGCCACTGTAGGAGGCTGTCTGGTTGTGTGTGTGTGTGTGTGTGTGTGTGTGTGTGTGTGTGTGTGTGTGTGTTAAACCCGAGACACAGCTGATCAAAGTGAGTTTAAGCTCCTTGATGACATGTAAAAGCAGACACATCACACTCACGCAAGATACAGTCCAGCATGATGAGTCACAGATCACAATGTAGGTCACATAGGCGCTCTGGAGCTCAGTCCTCGCCAACGGGGCGTCTCTCTGGCAGCGGGGGTAACTTGGGCTGGGTTTGTCCTCATCGTATCAAAATGCAGCGGTGGTGGGAAAATGGGAGGCGTCCTGATGTTGCTCGTATACAGAGAAACGACGTCTCATTGGTTCAAACCCACTGCCCGAGTGATATGGAATGGCAAATAGGAAAGAAAATATTGATATACTTGAGGTTGGCCGTATTTGGTTTTGTGATATTGTATTGATTTCTCTGTTACATTGTATGCAAATGTTGGTGTGTTCTTTATGCAGACAGTTTTCTGAAAGTTGGACTTGAAAAAAATTGCACCTGTATATGACCGTGCTTACAGTATCGCGATATCGAGTTGTAACCCCTGTATCGTGATACATATCGTAACAACCCTCACACCGAATGTATGCACAATCACATATAAATAATCACCACTTTTATGCAGTACATAACAAACTCTTCATACGTCTCAGTTAGCCTAACTTAGCGTAGGTTAGCTTAGCTTAGCTTAGCATAAAGACAGGGGGCAGGGGGAAACAGCTAGCCTGGTTGTGTCCAAAGAGAAAGAAATCACGTACAAACAGCGCTGAAGCACTAACTAACACAGTGGATCTTATTTATTTAATCCACCAACTGAAATGTGAAAATGTCAATCTGTAGCTCTACAGGGAGAGTTGTGCTGGAACTATATCTTGGCCACCTGTAGGGATTTATCGGACTTTCTGCTGCTGGTGGCATGGATACAATAGTTTATTGTCTGGTGAACATGTATAAAGTTGACGCGGAGACACAAATATAAATCTAAATATAGCTAAGCTGTAACACTAGCTCCCTCCATTCACCCACACATTTTATAAGATAAGATACATACTGTTTCGTTCTACTGTAAATAATGTGATATCTTAAAAGGGCTGCAGTGATTTAGTGCCACGCTTCCATAAAGTGGAGGACTGAAGATTGTTGACCACACTGCAAGTCACATATTTGAATGGACTGGTTAATTTACTAATGAAACCGCAAACACACAGCTCCTCTTAAATAGTCTAAATTGATTCTATCAGTGTTAAAATTGGATGTTTTATTTATTCATGTAAGTGCCAGCAGTGGAGGCTTTGCAACCATTTTGCCATTGGCTTGTTGACAACTGTATTGTATTACAACTAGGAGGCTAATGTGACTGTTGTTTTCCGACTTGGTTGCCTCCCCACAACAGTCTCAAGCTCAAAAAACACTCGATCCTATGTTTCAAATATTGCAGCTCGATACAATCTTTGAGACTCCATGCCTCCTTGACCTTCACTCTTGAGTATTGCGACATTTTGTTTCGTGATATTGTATCAATTCTCAAAAACACTATAGATTTTTGTGTTTAAACCCCCAACGTTAGATAGCAGTGTTTTAAACTTAACTGAGGGCTCGACTGTATACATACGGTGGTGTGTGTACTGTGACAGTTTGAATGAAATAAATCACAATATATCAGAATGTATTGAATCGTAACCCCTGTATTGTGATGCGTACCGTATCGCCAGATTCTTGCCAATACCCAGCCCCACTCTCCAAGCCCCTGGTGACATCATTATGACATATTAGGGGGTTATTTTCTCAGACTTGACAAAGCTCCTCCAGAGCCACAGGAGACATTATAACTGTTATAACTGTTTTTGTGTATAAAATCGGCGCAGTGCCCCTTTAAAGCCAGAAAGTGGGCTTTGCTGACTTTCTTCTTGTTAATGAGAAGGGTTGAGTGTGGTTTTAGGCAGCAGGATTTCTAATTACAACAAGGTCAGAGGTCAGTTACAGAAGGAGGAGGTCTGAATAATTGTATTTCTGACCTCTAGACTAAGCCGTAAATGTGGTCAAAAATCTGCTGCACCGGGGATTTGAATTGCTATTATGTCTGCTGTTGGCTGGTGGTGCAGGGATATTGGCCGCCGCACTCTTTATCTTTCCACACACACAACACACACACACACACACACACACACACACATGCTGGCACTTTGCTACTCAACGGTCCTTGTCATTGTGCGCTGCTCTGCCTCTCTTTCCTCTCTCATTATTTTCTCTCCCGTACACCACTCCCTGTCAATGCCTGGCCACACATACACACACTTTGACTGTGTGTGTGTGCAGCTGTCAGTCACTTCTGACTGTGCCAGCTTTTTGTAAACAGAAGACAAAATCCTATGTGGCCATAAAATATAATTGTTTAATATTTGTGTTGCTGACGTGCCCCACAAAGGGAAACAGGGTTGTGTGTTTGCGGCTGGTGCGTCAGGTAAACTGAAAGGTCGCTGGAATGGAAGAAGGATGAAGATGGCGTTGCTCTCATTGTTGGAGGGGCAGTATGGCTGCATCAGCGGGGGTGGACGTAGCTGTGATCATCGCCTTGGCTCGCTGAATGTGCTCGGCCGGTCAGCTTCTGCCCGCTGGTTGCATAAGCAGTCTGGGATCTAGTCAGCTGCGGCCCCTGGTCGCCGCTCTGTTTTCCACAGAGTGTTGAACCTGGTGGCACAGAGTGTCAGCGAGGAGGAGGAGGAGGAGGAGGAGGAGGAGGAGGAGGAGGAGAGCTGCATAAGGAACATGGTGTATTTTGTGTTTCCAGCGAGTTGCATTTGAAAGCCTGTGGGAGAGTTCAGGTGCCGTCCTGAGGAAGAAAGTAGGATTGTCATGAAATGGTTGGTTTGAAGTCTCAAGGTAATCATTGCTACAAACATTTTTAGACAGTATAATTACTAACAGTTGTTGTCAGCATGAATTAATGTCTGGATTGATTTTCAGATTAATCAGTTGTTTGTTTAGTCTATAAAATGTCCAACTAGTGCCCATCATAATTTAGTTAGCACCTTCAAATTGCTTGTGTTTGAAAACCAAAAATATTCCATTTACAATCATATAAAACAGACTAAAGCAGTAAATCCTCACCTTTAAAAGCCATCATGTGCATTTTGGATTCAAAATTCTTGTTGATTCATTTTCTGTCAATCAAATAATTGACTTATCGCTTCAGCACTAATTATTACAAATAAGGGTTTTCACTAAAAAGACTAAAAAGCAACCTCTACACTGCTCTGTACATTTTGATATCGGGGCTAATCTGTTGCGTTGCTTCAAAGCTGCATGATTACATTTTTTGGCCACCCGGGGGCAGAATATTCCAAACCGAGCTGAAAGTACAATGGTGAATATGATATATAATAGAATAATTGGCTGCTTTTGTACAATTATGGTTATACATATAGGATTATCATTGTTATTGTTATTCAAATTTTCTATGGATATTGTGATAATATCATTATCGTAGATTATTTTCGACACAATTATTGCATAGGGAAAATCTGATATCATGACTGCCTGGCTATTACACAATAGAGCAAGATGAGCATTCATTTAGAGTTGTGTTTATGGCCACCTGATAAATGTAAGTCCAATATTCACTCTTATATTAGCTCTGTTTTTGGTCTCCACCAACCCCTGAGGGAAATGTCTGGTTCTTTAGCTGTTAGCTGTTCAACTTAACCTAGGTGCTAAGTTTGTCTGTCTGCTGTTTGGTGCTGGTCATGTAGCGTACAGAGGGATAATCAGATCTTTTTTTTTAAGAAAACAGCTGAAATGTGATTAATGAGAGTTGAATTTACGGGCTGGAAAACCAAAACAGTAAGCTAAAAGACACTAAAAAGCTCTGTAGATCTGCATAATACAGAGTCCACTGATAATTATGTGGGTTCGTACCTTTCATAATACACATAGTCAATTGACCAGTTGTTAATATGAAAATATTAATGGGTGTAGCTTTAAGGCACCAAACAGGTAGAGGGCACTGTTTTTCTTGTTGGGTTGTGTTTTAACACTCGACCACTAGACAGCAGTAGATAGCCATTTGACTCTTCAACTCCATCTTTCAGAAGTTTTCCTATGATGTTGGATGTTACGGGGACAAA